TTTGGAACCAAAAGAAACCAACCAGAAAGATAAAAACAGGTTTTCCTTTGTTGCTTCAAACATAAATATAAACATTGAAATGTATTTTTTTTAACATTTACGATGGTATGAAACAGTTCTGCTAAACCATAAATTGAGGAATTTGTTTCAACTGTATTGTATACCATCATAAATAGGAATTTGACATATATCTTGGCATGTTGCAAACACTCGTCCCATTACTATCAAGTATTTGCAGTATACAAACATTTACAATGATTATGATGATGCAAATTGTATGCAATATATATATGTAGTGTTTCAATACATTCACACTGGTTTAGCAAACATCAAATTTGTGAAATTTCTGTGTTGATAAAGGATGTATTAATAACATTTAATATTCTGACAAGGAAATCTAGAGGAGAGATTTCAAAATGTAAACAAAGGATATCGGACACTGGAAATGGAAGGTGAAGGGTCAAGTTTGACCTCCAGTACTTGATCTATGACCAGTGAATCAAAGTCATCAGAAGGATGTGGTCAGAACTAAGATGACCAGTGTAGCTGACCAAGTCTGGTTACCTTACAACCTGACAATCTACCTTATAATCAACAGTATATAAACATATGTACATATCTATGACCAGTGTAGCTGACCAAGTCTGGTTACTTTACAAACTGATAATCTACCTTATAATCAACAGTACACACATATGTACATATATGACCAGTGTAGCTGACCAAGTCTGGTTACCTTACAAACTGATAATCTACCTTATAATCAACAGTACACACATATGTACATATCTATGACCAGTGTAGCTGACCAAGTCTGGTTACCTTATAATCAACAGTACACACATATGTACATATCTATGTGTTCAGATTTTCAAATACAGTCTACAGTCAATAGCATATAAATATATCTAGTGGGAATTTTGCCTATTGGTACAGCCATAATATATTCCCAAAATGAAAAAAATGCCCAGTTCCCAATTCTTGTGGGAGCAGACTGTTGTATTTTTTTTGTTGAAAAACATTGATCTTTTTGAAGCTTGTTACAGATTTGTTCAAGATATAAAGTTGACACTCAGATTTGACATTGCATTGGATGTTTCCAACCCTTGTGAAAGGTAGCATTTTGATACCCCTATATACCATACCAGAAAGGAAGTTTGGGGTAATGCACATGCATAATATAAACTGTTAAATACACAAGAATTATAAATACTTAACTATGTACAGGTAACAATCATACCCCACTGACAGGGAAGTCATCCAAAGCCAACCAGCCATTTAAACTCCCACTGCAATAATATCTGCTGCCCAGATGTTTTACATTTTAGAGATGAGATAAACCTAATTATAGCTCTTCTACACCCATGTTTCAAACCAATTACTGTAAATTATCACACAAGTCCCTCAGTGTATTTCAACCATGTCCTATAAGTGACTACATTCGATCAAGCAATATAAAACTGAAAACCTACAGTTGCCTTCACTCAACACATCTGTTTCACTAAATAAAGCTCAAACTCCTGAAATTTTTGGAGGAAAACTTCAATGTAACCTGAGCAAAATGTTCATTTAAGGATTGAATTCTGTTTTGTTGAGGTTTATGGGGTATAAACCTCAATGGGTCTTGAGACAAATTTTATGTGAATTTGTCTCAAGACCCATTGAGGTTTATACCCCATAAACCTCAACAAAATGGGATTCTATCCTTATATTTCAGAGAAATATTGATATATGTTGGGATAATTTCTAAAATATCAGTCTTGTGGAAGCTTAAGTCTAACACCACAGAAGGTATCAAAACTTATGACGTCATCACTAACTGTGAGACGTCGTCCTGGTAAGATGAATAAGCAAATTAAGATGTAAATTATTTTTTGAATTCAATTGAATACTTCTGACAAAAAAAAAAAAATGAAAACAAACTATGAATGGAACTACTTCCTGCACTCCGCAGAATAACAGAGTAATCAGGTTGATAATATGCTGATGTATTTATACGCCAACTGAAATGTTCATTGAAAATAACCTTTAAAATGTTAAGTAGGTATATTGAGTCCAAGTTCAGTAGAAATGTAAATATTATGCCTTGATCAGGAAACCCTGTTCCCCATGGTAACACTACCCCGCTCCACATGGTCATGTGAAGCTGCCACCCAGCTGGTGCTCATTTCTTTTAATTGACTTTTTTCAATCTGCTTTGTGGACCATGTTTTTTGGCTAATTGATTTTTTGGTAGAATATGTTTGTTATCCCAACATAGCTTACTGCACTGTACAAATGGCTTTAGTCTATTAATATTTAATACTTCAAAAACTGCATATTAGTTCTGTAAATTGTATAGACATGTTATTTATTGTTCTGTAGGTTCACTGTTCCATACAGTACATGTATATGAAAGTAAGATGTTGGAAATTCAGGGTGGGGCAGGAGTCACTTTCTCATGACAATGGTGAAATTAAGCCTTCAAATTTGTTTTCCTAACTTTTTTTATCGCAAAATTTCTGAGTACTTCAATTTGTTGTTAAAAACACACACTCACCCTAGCATACCTCCTTAACTGTTAGTATATATAATCTGTAGAAGAGAACTCTAGATACCTGTTCACTTATTTAGGCCCCTTCTATAATCACCCTGCACCCTTATTACCTGTGGGTCAAATACGGTATATACTGGTATACAAAAATGATATAAATGACATCTTCGTTGCAATATGCCACTTACTACATTACAGGAACAACTTCCTTGAGAAACTTCTTTGAGATGTAGTATTACTACATAACATGTATCTCAAGGAAGTTGTTCCTGTAATATTAGTATGTAGTTGATTATTTAAAGTACATGTAAGGCCAAAAAGAAAAATATTTGTTCACTATCATCCTCAGAAAAAGAAGGCAAGAATAAGTTACTAGGAAGAAGGAAGGCAATTTTTTTATTTGGAAAATATTTTAACTATGCTCATGTAGAGCAGGAGTTGTGACTTTAACAGTGCATATGAATGAATGCCAATAAAAACTTCAGGGTAGGCATAAAAATCTAGGATAGCTATAAGATTAACAGGGATACAAGATTTGCTTTATCTGGCCTAATAGCTAACCACTGTACTGCAATACAGCTAGCTCAAGTTACACAATCAAGTGTTATCAGTTGATAGAGCATCAATTTAACCATTTTTTATTTTGTTTTGTGACTTTTTACCTGTGTATGTCTGACTAATCAGTTTTGAATCTATTTATCACATATCTAGTTCTGGGAGGAAATTGGCGGAGGGTAGGACTAGGTATGTTTATAACCCCAATGTATCATGTCTACAGGACGTCACAATGTTGTCTCATTTCCTGTTAGTCAACACTTGCTTGTTTACATTGGTTGAATTCACAATGAATCATGTACAATAACTTGGACTGTCAACTCATCATATACAACACTATATGTGGGGCTGTATTTATATACAACTGTAACATAAGGCTGTGTTTCCCCTGAGGGAAATTCTGAAGATCTATTTCTCCTAAATCTGCTAAATTCCCAAATCCAATTATTATGTAAGGGAGAAAAGCATTAACAATATGATGTTTATAAACACATCTAGGTTAGATCTGGTGGGGTGTACAGGTTTATTTCAATTACTAGCTCCGAGACAGATTTTGAAAAATTCTACTTGTCAGAGCTAAATTTTCAGAGCAATTTGCTGCGAATATTAAAATTGTTCATTAGCTGTGACATCACATATATTTATATATATATATACAAGCCCCAGGAATCAAGCTTGTAGAATTGTACTTCCCTGTTCATATGTTAATTTGACAAAAAGTTAAGAGGGGTCAAAGGTTAGGAGAGTAGTGTAAAACATGGCAATCTCATTATACTGAGGACTTCATCAACATCCTGCGGGGGAAGATTTGTTTCACGACAAGTCAACTCATCCTTATAGAGTGCATCTTTTCACACAGTGTCAGTGTATAACTCCTTGTGTATTATCATAAATAATTTGTACTTACTACACAGTGGTTTTAATTTTCTTTGAAATTAAAATTTTGATTTTTTTTCCATACAAGTTTGCAGGAATATACCATTGTTATTTCTTATTTTTACAATTAATTTATAGTTCCTAGAGTGAGAGTGCAGCAAGCCATCCTAGATTACATACACATGCTGTCTCTCACACAATATTTAAATTAATGGTGGCTTTATATCCACAGTTTTGTGTTCTGCATTAGGTTAATAACTGTTTATAAAATCTGAAAGTCACACAATAATATATGATGATCAATTAATGATCTGTGCAGATAATCAACACACACTGTGAACATCTTTTTAATTTAACACAAATTACAATGACTTTTTTTGTTAAATTGCAGTATCTGTACAACTAAATTTAACTTTCATAATTATAATTTTATGTCATAGTTTCCCTCCTTTAAATTTCTTCCCTGTACCACGGAAATAGATTGGATCTAATTATATAAGTCTGTGACTGTACATTACATTTCCAACTATAATTTTTCATAATTACATAAATTATTAATTATTTTCTATAAAATTACTCATTGACTATAAACTGTTTTAATGATTACCCCATGAACTGTTTATTTCACAAGATTTATTAAATTTCATCTGTGTGCATCTATTACGAGTTATTTTTTATTAAAGCAATTAAAGCTTCATAATGTGTGCTGAAACAGATAAGCACAGATTTATCTCAAAATTATGTAGATGCTAATTTATGTAAATGGTGAATTACGTGGTAACTATACGGTCTTCATTGGGATGCCGACATGTATGATGTACTGTCAGCCTGTTACAACATTAAATTATCCGGGTTTCCCTAACACACGTGGTTGAGTTGAAAACAGTGACATTATACCATCAGACGATCTGCACATGTAGAGAGTACCAGACCTATCTAGAATTTGACAACAGCCATCTTTATGCATAACATAACAACCATGCACCTTCCTAGAATCATGAGAAATCAAGAATCCCAAGGAGAATGTTTAACTTACTTATTGAAAGTTTTCTGAAAACCTTGAATTTCTTTCCGTGTAAACTCCTTGAATTCTGTATACGGATTCCACACTTGCATAGACGGAAGAACAGGTTCCGCACCATCCTCCCCTGATTCGTTGATATTCACTCTCCTCTCGAGTTTCTTTGCAAGTTCGTCAGTCGCCATTTCCCACCAATGTTCCAACTGTATCACTCAGTTCAAATGTCTGTAGCTTTCAAACACGCGAACACTTTCACTCGCCAAGGCATATGGCTTCCTGTTTGCTGTCAGTGTATCCGCATCATGTGACATGAGGTCATAGGTCAAATTAGAATCAGAACCCGCGAAAAGAGAGGTTGGTACGTTACCGTAATTATGACAATAGGCCACACACGGTAAACTTCCCGTTTTAATACTTTGACAAAATACTTATAGGTCTAAATATATAAATTTATGGAGCGTCAAACTAACATATCCTCTAATAATTGTACCTATCTTCAAATAACTGTAAATGTATTATACGTTTCTGAATAAAGTTATTGAATTGAAGCAACTTTGTTCTGTCATTAACGAAATCATCAATTCAGTTACAATTGTTTTCAAATGATATGCGTGTATACCAGTTTATCTTCAATTGCATTGAACCTTATTTTATCTTCAACCCATATATACGGAAGTCCAACCCATATATACGGAAGTCCAACCCATATATACGGAAGTCGGTATAGATACAAATACTTGGTCAAAAACCTGGTTGGTTAATTTTAATCCTGAAAAAAACAGATGTAATGTTTATTTCGAATTCAATCGATATCGAAGAAGACTAAGATTTAGAATTTGATGGGAAAGTCTTAAATTTTACAGATTGTCATAAACATTTAGGGGTAAATTTTAATTCGAATGCAAAGTTGGGGGATCATGTAAATGGAATTTACACTTCTGTTATGAAGAAAATTAATGACTTATGGAAACTGAAACTCTTATTAAGTAGGGATGCTCTTTTAATAATTTACAAGACTTTTATTTTACCTGTTTTAGAATATGCTTGTGAGTTGTGGGACGGTTGCACTGTTTTTGAATCTGAAAAGTTAAAAAAGCCCAACGTGAAGCTGCTCGCATTATATTAGGACTTCCTTCATATACTCCTATTAATACTTTATATTACGAAACTAGTCTTGAAACTTTATCTAATCGCAGAAAACGGAGGAAACTTCAACTATTGTATAAGATGCATAATAATTTAACTCCTGATTACTTCAATCATCTTTTGCCGCCTTTATCTGGAGAAAATAATCGTTACGCTTTACGACGGTAACAATAATAACTATAGGATTCTTCCTTTCAGATTATCTCTTACTAATTCTTCTTTTCTACCTTCTACTCTTCACTATTGGAATAACTTAGACAATTCGGTTCGATCCCTACCCTCTATTAATTCATTCAAATCCTGTTTAACATCAAATATTCAGTCAAGTCCACCTATTCACTTTAAAACCGGAAATCGTAAACTTACCATCTTGCATACTAAGCTCCGACACCAGTGCAGTTCCCTTAATTATGACCTTTTTAGAGTTAACCTTGTTGAGAGTGCATCTTGTTATTGTGGTCATCCTTGTGAGAATGTCTTTCACTATTTTATGGAATGTCAACTTTTTACAAACGAAAGACGTATTTTGGTTCAAAATTTGATTAATTTGAATGTTGCGTTAAATTTAGAAATTCTTTTGTTTGGCAATTCACAATTTTCCGTGGACCTTAACTCAAACATTTTTAGATCTGTGCAAAACTTTATTAAATCCAGCAAGAGATTTTGAGTTCAAATTGTAATAACAATTGTATATATTTATTGTCATTATTGTAATGTCATGTCAAATGTATATTGGNATATGGTTAAACTAAAAAAAAGATACAAATACAACTCCTCTAATATAGGCCTAATTGAACATGTCGAAAATATTGAATATCAGTTCTATTCAATATAGAATATAAGTTTAATTTATCTTATACTACCTATCTTTAATTCAATTAAAAACATGATCAATTTAGCTATGTACTATAAATTATTTGATTCAATACTAATAAGAGACCGAGCTACTTTTGCGAGGGTAAAAAGAACATGATGACCTCACTCCTTTCTGCTGGGTTTTGCGAATTTTCTGTGATCGCGAATTGCTAATTATTTTCGTCATGGAAAGCTTAATATGATCGTTTACATAAAAACCTAGCACTGACTTACATGTTGCTGTAATATACGAATTTATTATAATATCAATTTGGGGCAGGTCTGTCCCATGCAACACATCAAAAGACGTATAATTGGCGGAACTCTGACGTTGCATGTTTTATGACGTCATGATTATCCGATTCCGATGTGGGCCGTACCTGCCCCAGAATATCTGTCCAAAAGTGCCCCAAAGGCGGGGCACGTTCGGCCATCCAATCGTCCGGCAGAAAAAAAAGAGTTTTATAACTCTTAAAATACGAAAATCACGAAAGACTTCGAAATTCTCTTCCGAATGGTGTAAAAATGGCCCAAACTCGCCCGATCTTCCCTACAACATTCAACAGAACAAGTTGAGCAACATTGACTAACAGAGCCAACAGAAGAATTCGCTTATACTTTCAGTTTTGACGTCACTTACATTCACTCATTTTGAGGCCGCGTTCGTTTGAACTTTTCGGCAATAAAAGATATGTAATACAAAACAAAAAAGTCTCATATTTCCAAGAAGGCTTGCCACCAATTATAATATTTTTTGTGTTTAATGGGGTTTTTCAAGAAATATTCATTACATGTTTGATTTACATTTTGCCATGCTCCATATGCTTTGCTGTATTAATATATAGAAACAAGCGCCCTCAATCAAGTCTCTGCTCAAGTCAAATACTATTTTCTATCCCTCCAGGCCCAATGAATGAATTGACAAACGGACGGGCGGACGGACGGACGGACGGACGGACAATTGAATGAAAGAAATCGAAAATCTGTGATTCGATTTGACCGGTGGCATATAAACCTAGCGAATCCAAGTAATTTCACGTTCTCAAAGAGAGAACCGGGGTAATGACAACAAAAAACATAGGAAATTAATGCGCATGCCAAACAGGAAAAGGGCTTCGTAGGCTTCGTATTAGTTGTTCAACTTGTGCCCAATCCCATTGCTAATTAAAATCGGGAATACAATATGTCTAAATAAAATCATGACAAACATGCTATATTCATATCACCACGGACTTAGATCTAATCTAATTCCGTGATATCACTTAGGAATACGATCCCGATGGCAACCTCAAAACTTGTCCAGTCTTGAATTTCTTTTTTCTTTTCCCAACCTACTGCTTTTTAATCGACGATAACTCCCTGTAAGCATGTATGTAAAATCGATTTTATTTGTACATAAACAAGAGAATTAGACAGTTAAAAAATGTAATTTTAATAAATATCCTTTTTTTTTCAAATGTGAAAAGTATATACGATTTTTGATTGTATTTGGTTTCTAATTTACAAGTTATCTATTAATTGCAACTATAAGCGAGGAAGGCCCATTCACTTATTGAATAATAATTGTCTCGGCCGCACGTTACCAGGTAGGGGCACCTGGTTACGGACCTAATTTTACACACATCAACTTGTTCTTTGGTCTTATAGACGCTTAAATCGCAGGCGTTGTGACGTTAAGCATTCTACCTGGAAGATGAAGGATGGAAAATCCAGGAAATGTACACAAAAAACTGCCGAAAACGTGCTTCTAAAATGAACGCGTTATTGCTGTTGATGACTAGAGAACGGCATGGTCAACATAGACAACATAATGCTTCCTGTAAAATTCTTCGATCTCTAATTTGTGGCGTAAGTGACAGCGGGTGATCAGGTGTTTTTTTTATATATAATTTAACTGATAAACGTGGTGACAGTTACATATACCCGATGTCTTCAACTAAAGGTGTCAGAATGTCACCTCATGTTTAAAATTTAAATTGATTTATTCTGTTTTAATGACAGCCTTTATGACAGGTACCTGTGCCATGGACGGCTTATGATAAACAGCGCAATCAGCCCACTTTTGCTTAGTCTGCTAAACTGGTCATAATGTCAGACTCACTCATTTTGTTGTAGTCCACTCCAAAATTCTGATCGCACTCCTGCTTAGCAGAATAGATTATGCCTATTTGGGAACAGGGGTAGGGATTAATGCAGGAATAGAAAGTTTGTACCCTTTTTCTGAAATAGGGGGAAATATGCGCTGTAATTGCATGACCCATTCCAGTGAGGACTGCAGGCCCGATCCAAGGGGAGAGTACAAGAGGGAGGCATGGATTTAAGATCTTTAATTTTGTTCCTCGCTTTAAATTATGTATTATAAAATATCAGCAGTGACAATTACAATCAACACAGGGAAAAGGAAATAAATCACTCAGTTGTGGAACTGATGGAAGATTAAAAAAAATGGAACCAAGACAGATATTCATGTGGTAGTATTTTAGTTACAAGTGGGTGAATTTTTAACTGGAATAGGGGAAAATAAAGCTGAAATAGGGGAAAATAATGCCAAAATTGGAGAGGTGAACTGGTCCATATTTGGCCATAAAAAAGGGCCTGTTTATATCCTTGAGAGGTCATTATTTTTTCAATGCCTCCACCAGGAGTGGAACCTGGGACCTCTTGCTAACTAGCTCTACCAAACTTTTGAGTCGGCTGGAAGCAGCTAGTATTTTACCAGGGTGACACAAGTTTACAGATATTAAGCGATTTGATGATCATGTGGTACATGAAGGAGGCATGTATGCTTCTGGTATGAACGTAAATCAGTGAGTACGCCAACTTCATCGTAGTGTAAGGTAGCAGAGTACAGTAGCGTACGGTGGCCATGGGTGATATTTTTATACAATGAATAACCCTTGTAATATAACATGTATCAAAATTTTAAAGAAAATCAGCACTAAAATTGGCATATACATGATGAAGTGGACTATGTGGGCTTCATAATTTTTCAAAAAAAAAATCGAATTTGGTTTGAGACTACAATTTTGGGCATTTACAAATCTGTGTCTACACAACAAAAGCTAGCTTTTCATGTAGTCTACTTTTGTACTCAGCACATGTGTAAATATTGTGAAAAATCCACCGGAATGACCTATGCTAAAACGTGAGTATTTCTGTTACCGAGTAGGCGATATTTAATTTCAGACAGGTTTTAAGAAAAACAATTCTACTTGCGAGGGGGACTATTTTGGGTTAAAAACCATGATTTTTTGCATATTTTGGTGATTTTTGATGTGGTAACCATGGTTTTCAGAAGTCCCAAATCAGGGGAAATCACTTTTTGAAAAAAAAAATGTTCTTCTAAAAAACACCTTTTCAAAATGTAGTTTATAAATATATATATATATATGTAGACTAGGTGTGTTGTGCAGGATGAATCCGCTATCCATGTTTATCCGAGACATGCCCTTTATTTTTAGGGTCAAGCCATTTCTACTGTACTCTGCCACCTAAGATTGGTAAAGTTAGGTGGAAACTGCTCCTAAATCATGTATATAAGGGATATCTACTGACTCGTATAAGTACCTGCTTGTCTGATATGCAGTCCATCCATGTAGTGTTTAGTCTTTAGTATCATAATGGTATAATTCATAACTGCTCCCTACGAGTACTTGCATGTTGGTATGCTCCCTAAGCATGTACAGTTGTCTGGTGAATAAACAAGCGGACACTGAGTAATGACTTTAATGTGTTTCAATCATCAAGTCTCAGTGGGAACTCAATAGTTGGGAACCAGTGTTTTTGCATATTGTTGCAACTGCGGTCAGACTTTAATTGTTAACTGGTAATGATATGCTGACAGACAGACACAGTGTATACTATTCACGTAATTACACTTTTTACTAGTTGCTCATATCCTTCAATGTTTCAGGGTAATTATTCCTACAAAAAAGTTTGGCAGAAGAATTCAGACAAAAGGATTGCATGTGAAGGGTAATGTTTTGAATATTTGCGAAATTTCAGATTTTATCTTTATCAATAATAAGGAATTTTCATTTATTTTACAAATGTTTTGTTTTCATTTTTGTCAATAAAGTCGTTGCGACTTTATTGACAAAAATAAATTCCCAGTGTAACTTTACAAACTTTTAGTCATTAACTGGTAAGGAATCAACTTTTCAACATCTGATAAAATTGTTAAATACTATATTTTTATTTGCAGAAACCAACATATTACAAAATACCTTTTATTATTTTCAGAGGCAAAATATACTTCGATAACTTTCGGATTTGGTATGGAGGGTAAGTTAAATAATGTGACCATTGATACATTTAACAAAAAGCTGATCTCCTTATAATCAAATTACTGAACAGATGATATTTCCTGTTTCTACTTTATTTATGCCAAATTATAGCACTGTGTCTTTTTTTGCTGGAAATTCTTAAAAAAAATATTGGAAGTTTGATTTGAATACTGGATGTATAATTTTATAACTGTTTGAATACAAATGAGCCTTGATAAATGATCCACATCTGTTCCTATCAAAATGCTGTGTTAATAGGACCCTTGAATATAAATAGAAAAAGTCCATTTAAAGTTTTAAACACAGACTGGAATGACAAGATTAGTCAGTGGTAACTGGATTAAAAGCCTGGACAGTAAACATCTAGATTTACTTTAAATATGGAATTTCTTAGAATATAATTAATCATGATAAATGATTCTGTATATATTTTTGTGGCTGTATTGTTTTATTAAAGTAGCTCATCTGACATAAAAGGTCAAGTTTACCTATACACTGGCACAGCATCTTTTTCTATGGATAATTGATCATCCAGGGGCCAAGAATTCATTCAGTGTTGTATAAATGAATGATATAGTCCCCATTGTTTTAACCCTTTCACCCTATGTAACTTAAGTAGATTGTACCATGCATAGATCTGGATGAGTCCATTTTGGTCTACAGTGGTGAAAGGGTTAAACACATTTAAGCATAAATCTATTTTCTATATTAAATTTTGTGAGGATTGAAGTTTGATAAGGGGAGATAGTGTGATAAACTCCCACAGTGCCATCACACTCTGTCACATATACTTTTTGGTGTACTTTCATTTTTACAAACATTTCGTTCTTACTTGTAGGTATAATTTAAAGAATGAACCACAGTGTTTACAAGTAAATCAACCTCGTGGCCCTAACAGAAAGATAGAGGATGCTCTCGTAGCCTGCATTCATTCGGTAAAAACAACATTTAAAATTACAATTGAAAACTATTTTTAGAAATACCGAGTTTTCTGTTAGCTACATGAGGATATGTACATGGGATTGAACGTACTTTTCAAATGAGGTGTTGTTAAAGTTTTGAAAATTGATTTACAGAGGAATTTATCGAACCTGGGATGGCCTGGATAGCAGTTGAAATAGCTCATTCCTTCCTCAAGATAAATCTTACAAATCTAAACAGTCTACCTTTTATATTAATGTAAGCATTACCGATTTTTCTATAATTGTTGGTACAGCTTAAAAATTCTCCAGTAAGACAGCAGTCACATGGGGTCTAAAACTGTATTTAATAATGTTATATAGTGTGAGTCAAATAAGTCGTACAGTATTAGTCAAGTCAAAAGTTGCATCACCTATGTGTGTCGGTGACTCCCTCAAAAGTTTTCAATTACAACCATGTCTCCAGAGGACATAGAGGATAAAGATTTCTCACATATCCTCTTAAATGATCAAAGCTTTTGAACTTTGAATGATGAAGTTATTGAAATTATTAAAAAAGTCAAAATGATAATTAATAATAGGATCATACACTGTACCTATAACCCTGTCATATATAAAATGTTGTAGCTGCACAAAAACAATGCTATTTGACACTACAAATACTTGCGTGTTGAAGGTTGTAATTATTATTCAATTGATGTAAGTTTTTGTTGACAGGAGTGCCTTCCCTTGTCCAATGACGGTCACAAATCTAGCTTGTTTTGTTTGGAGAAAAAGTGGTTGTTACGCTTTGTTTTGGAGAAAAAGCGAGTGTTACCTATAGAATCTGTCTTTCTCTCTCCAACTCACAAATTCAGGTGAGCTTTAATTTAATCTAACATAACACATCATCTTTTTTGCAGTTACTGCAAACTCAATGACTCTTAATATACATTCCACTTATTATCACATCAACTCATATTTTACTCAATCACTTACAATATAATACCATCAAATATATCTGGTATCTAATAATAATATTTAAAACAAAAATGGCATAATCAAGAAAATATGTCCACGGTTACAATGGTATCATCATTCATGTCTTACTTTATAAAATACAAAGAAATATTCTTGAAAATAATATACCTGTAACATTTTTTTTATTTTTTTTTACTGAAGTCTTGTCTTTTTATCGTTCATTTTGTCAGTGATATTTCATGGAATGAACCACAGACCTCCCTTGTCTTGCGCACAACACACAACTCACGACCTTATCAACATGTCAGACAGGTGAGAAATATTAACCTGGTTATAGGGCTGTCACAATGTATAAGAAACAGGTATATTGCAATACACAGTCATATTGTATCATATTGCAATATTTTTCAAAAGCTTATTTTTATGTATCTGCTTGGTGTTTAAACTTTGCAAATTATTACACATTCTTAGTAGTGGCAATCAATATCAAAAATATTAAATGTGTGTGATCCATATTATATAGTTTGATAACATTCAATTTCTTTTTATGAACACCTTTTTCTTATGACAATATAGATTTTCTCCCATAATCACCATTTTCTGTAAGTAATGCCGATTGTTGTTATTATGAAATCACAAAGAAGATTGTGAAATTCCAACCAGTAGAAAAATATTACATATAGACATGATTATTTGCATAGAGGTGTTTTTAAATACATATTGTATTTAAATGGAATAAAATGTGATGTCTTTGTTTGGATTTTGAATTCCCATGAACTATGCAATAAGCAATTGAAAAGGAGAAATGTTCATCTTGAAATGAATACATATATTGATCTGTTAAAACAAGATAATAGTAAATACCTGAAGATACACCTGGTCTTTATATTATAGGCAGGTGCTCCTGTGCCCATAGTGATGCTACTGGCTGTCTTTGAGGTGTGCCCACTGAAATTTGTAGGCATGCTTAAGATAACAGAGGAAGTACGTATCAACAGGATATGCTACCAGGGTAAAATATTTAATATTTGAAACATTAATTATTGGTCGGGTGTTTTTCTATTTTGTATAAAGATGGTACTATTATCATTTTCTTCCCTGCCCTTTTAAACAATCAATGGGAAAATCAGGTTCACTATAAAATGATTGCCTCTATAATGTTATAAAAACGGAATCTCTAGAATTTTTTTCTAAATCTTTTATCCTCAAATATTACTTCATAACTGGAAAAAACAACAACCTGATAAACCTTGAATACAAATGTAATTCCTTTCTAAGCTTTGTGTACATACATGTATCACCTGGTTCTGGATAATTATGGCAGTAATAAAGTAAAGGGGAAGTGAAATGGAGTTGTCATTGAATTTCACGATCAATTAATGTATTTGCTTTATTGATGTTCTCTTTTGTGGTCCTGTTTGGACGGTTGGTGTAGGTTTTCGGTAAGGACGTGGTACACGCAGTGATATCCCAGGGTCTCCTCATCACCATGCATCATTCAGGATGGGTCAGGATGTACAGCTTTGATCGGATTGTAGAAAAGGTAATACGAATGTCCATCAGTAAAAATAACAGATGTCCCAAGTATCACAATAGCCAGTGTGTGACAATTAGGAGGTTACAACCTATGTTGTCTAGTGTCATATATTTGGCATAACTCTCTTTCTCCACATTTTTATTCAGGAACATAATTTATTAAACAATAAGTGAATATTACTGACATGGCTGGAGGAAATTTATCTGTAGCTGGGTCGATATAGCTCTGGTCTATTAATCTGTAGTCCCAGGTTCGACACCTTACAGAGGCAGATGGAAAAATTGACATTGGTTTCATGTATATATGTGTTTTGAAAACCTTTTATTTCTAACAGTATCGCAGGTTTGAAGCGAAACTGTTTGAGGAGTTCGATACAGAAGGAAACATTTGTGGGGAGATGCCCTGTGGACTGCCATGTAATATACAGATCACAGGTAAGTCTGCCATGCAATATACAAATCACAGGTAAGTCTGCCATGCAATATACAAATCACAGGTAAGTCTGTCATGTAATATACAGATTACAGGTAGGTCTGCCTTGTAATATACAGATCACAGGTAAGTCTGCCATGTAAATATACAGATCACATGTAAGTCTGCCATGTAATATACAGATCACTGGTAACATACACACCCTATTCCGTCTTTGCGTATTGCAGAGTTATCTTCTCTTGTGAGCAGGTATTGATTGTTACGTCATTGGTTTGTGTGAGAAAATTACGTCGTTTTCTCAAAAATTAATGACGTAACAATCAATACCTGCTCACAAGAGAAGATAACTCTGCAATACGAAAAGACGGAATACATAATTTGTTGACAATTTCAAATCATTATGATTAATGGAGCAGGAGCAGAAAAATGCATGACCAGACGGGGATTCCAACCCAGGACCCTCTGAACTCTAGACAGACACTCTTACCAATTGAGCTACCTGGTTAACGGCAATTGACCCAGTCCAGTTCCACTACATTACTCTTCCTTTGCTATGTCGTCACCCCCAAGACTTCACTATTTACAACCCAGGTTCAGGTATCCCCTTGCTAACCATTCACCCAGTACTTCAAACAAGGGTTGATCACAGGCACCAAATGTAATAAGAGTGGAAAATGCACACCCACACACTTTTGGTTCACACACTTTTGTTCCTGTACCCTCAAAAAGTAAAAATTACAATATCATTACAATTAGCACATAGAATAGGGGCTTAAATATTTTTTTCTCTATTATTTTGTCATTGTCATAGTGAGTTCTGTATTTGTTATCTGACGGATATGACTATCAAATGTGGACTACTGTTTCAGAGTGTCCCCCTGTTCTGTTTGAGGTGCGATGTGCCCAGCACATTGTAGATGTCGGTGGATTTCCCTGGCACTACCTTACCTCTCCCCACAGTACCAGTCAGAGCTGTTTCCATGTCCGTAATCTCACCACTGGTCAGTTGGTCAGTATCTATGCTGTACAATTTTAGTTAAGTCAGTAAGTGAAGCTGGTAAAGTTTGATTTAAAGGGACATTTACTGTATACCGGGAATCTTCGCCCAATCAAATATCTGTCCTTTACTGGTAAATATACTTCTGTTTAGTGTTTTAGCCATTCACATGTAATTACTATATAGGGTAAACTGTGTACTAATATTCGCTGTCATGATATATGCACCCTTATTGCTGAGGGCGAAAAAGGCGAAAATTAAAGTGCAGTGAAAAACAATATTACCGTAAATTGGCATATGTTTTTATGATGTTTTCTTGGTGATGCTTTTGGGTGTTGTTTCATTCTCAGATGTTAAATGGGGTGTTATTTTCTTTGGTTTTGGTTCAGAATTAATTGACAGACATTTTTGGGTTGTTGTCGCAAAAGAAACCTCGAAGTCTTTTTAAAAACAATGAATCAGTGTGTTCAGTCACCAATGAAATCTTTGCTTGTTACAAATCTACAGCAAGATTTTGTGGTAATTTACTGAACAAAATTCTTGGATAAACCATACAGTTAGCTGTATAGTAGTACAGGTATCTAGTGCTTGAATACAACTGTGAGTTGAAAAAACCTGTCACAATTATGGTGGTTTGACATTTCAGGCCCAAAATGGCACCTTAGCAATGGATGTAACTAACCTAGATACAGACAAGGCCAGTTTCTATGGCGATGACTCGGGGAGAATACTTTATGTTGGGGCCACAGACATCAGGTTTGTCTTATCTTTTGCTCAGGAAATATTGAAAAAAAACAACTTGGTGATATGATAACTGAATGAAGTAACACCAAAATATACCTTTTGAATGATAAAAGATGCTCAAAATATGCTCTTATGAATTACAGCTGTTGATGAATGCATAGATTAGAATATCATTGCTATAGCTAGCTGTTTGGTGCATGGCTCATTGGCCCGTTTTGAAAGTAGTACATTAAAAATAAAAAGAAAGGACGAAGCATTTATCCCTCGCTTTCACCAAAAAGGGGGTTATTAATTTGGGTTTGTCCGTCTGTCTGTCTGTCTGTCACGCTTCTTTTCTGTGCAATAACTGCAACAAATGTTAACCGATTTTCTTCAAACTTGGTACCAGGGTTAAATTCCTTAAGGGCTCGGCCAAGTTCGATGACCACTTTCAGCAGACTTTATTTGGCGGAGTTATGGCCCCTTGAATAACGAAAAACATCATTATCTGCCGTTTCCGTGCAATAACTGCAACAAATGATAACTGATTTTCTTCAAACTTGGTACCAGGGTTAAATACCTTTAGGGCTTGGCCAAGTTATATGACCACTTTCAGCAAACTTCATTTGGCGGAGTTATGGCCCCTGTTTCCGTGCAATAACTCTCGCAAATATTTTCCAATCGTCTTTAAACTTAGTAACAGGGTTCAACACATTAAGGGCTTATCCAAGTTTGACATTTGGCAGAGTTATGGCCCCGTCATTAACGAAAAATGTCATTATCTGCAGTTTCCGTTTTAATAACTCTAGCAAATATTACCCAAATTCCTTCATACTTGATAACAATGTTTGTGTTCCTCTTTCTTGGGCACTTTTTGGTTTTCGTGTCATAATTGCGGTAGATATTTTGCAGATATTATTTCAACCAAATTCCGCATGCACATCGGACTCATGCTTAGTTTGCCAACCGATGATATTTGTGCATATTTACGGATAATTCATGAGGTACATGTATAAGGCTTTTTTTTTTCAAGTTTCAAGCTATACATTATGTCTCAACCGCACGATAGTCACATGTTTAAACCTAATCTCAATGTTTACCTACAATATGTCCTGCAAGCAGGGGATATAAATTCCACGAATTTGCTTGTTTATAGACATGCATAAACTTTTCAAATTCTGAGACTTACTTTTAATGTTTGATTTTTGGTTAGAATTAGAATGAAGACATAAACTTTTGCTAACCAGCTGTCAATATTTTGTAATCAGATGTTCACTATGAGAAGTATGCCTTTTAATGAAATAGAACCTTCCTATGTAAGTTCAAATAATAATAAAAACATGCATTCTCATTCAATAATTAAAAAAAAAAAAATCAAATCATATCAATATTCCTATCTAATAATAAAGGGAATATTTTTTTCCATATTTTGTTTGATAACACTATATAATATTTTTTAATATCCAGACTTTTTAAATTTTCCGTTGACGACAAGGGATGCAAAGTTGATAAGGATTTCTCCGTTGACTTATCAAGGAATACAAAAGTGGTAAGATTTGATTATATAACTCTTCACTGTTGTAACATTGTGTTATGACATAGTTTGATTTCTGATGACGGAATTTTAGAGGTTCGTAATATTGTTCTCCTGCAGGTTATAGAGGTAGGAGCTCTTCAGGGTTGTTATCAGAATAGTCCCTTAACCCTTTCACCACTGTGGACCACAATTGACTCATCCAGATAAAGGTATGGTAGAGTCTACTGAAGTTACCTAGGGGTGAAAGGGTTAAAGCTATAGAGAACAATTACTCAGAAGGGAGGGTAGGCTATGACTGCTGAAGAGGACACTTACTTTAGAAATGATTTTACAAGATAAACAAACTATGTAAATCTTAACAAAATATCTCAACTGTAACTACATAGTTATATATGTCATCCCGTATTTCCTTTTTTAACCTAGAAATGTGTCTACCTGTTATATATTTTGCCTTGCCCATAAAATCTTAAGATTTAGTTTATTGACTTTCCTACTCCAGGAGGAAGCTATGTATACATCATCTGGTCGTAGCATCAGACGTAAAGTATCAACAACTGAACTCAGGGATACTTCAGAAATGGTAAGTTCTTAGTGTAACGTCTTGTTTAAACAGCAAATCAGTTATATTTTATATTTCCTTAAGATTTCTGGGAGCTTGTTATCACTGCTTTGTTTATCTCAAAATATCCATCAGACATCTTTGTCTGGAACATAAGTTTTGAGCTTCTGAACATTGTTAGATGAACTTTATTGTGTACCAGCCAATGACTAGACTCTTTTGTTGTGTGTCACACATTTGTCTATACATCTGAAGTTAAAGTCACTGCAAGTGGTCAAATTGAAACCCATTGCAATGTCTAGACTATAAAAGCTTGAAGAAAATTGCTTGAAAAAACTTCAAAATTTTATACATCAAGTTTATAGAAAATATGTGACGCAAAACAAATGCCGGTTCTCCAAGACACTTTTGACCACATGCATCAGCACAACATCATAAAAAATATGTTACTTTTCCGTTTTAAGCTGTATATATACAATATATTTGATAGTACTTAATAGATCTGGTATAATGTTCTGGTATTTTGAATCAGACGATACACAACGTGGATTACGAGGACGATTTGGACCTGCTGTATACCAGTGCTGTTTACCAAGACCCTGAGGGGACATACAACATGGTGAACCTCTACCATAACACCACTGGAGCCTTACTGCGGGCAGTACGTCTCGAGGAACCCTGGCAGGAGGTCAGCATCACAGGATGTACTTCTGTTAGTGCAGAGATGCTAATGTTATCCATTCATTTTCATCATTTCCCAATAATTTCATTGAAGATAAATATGAAATGAGATTTAACATGAGTATTAGACCTGTAAAATCCATCTACAAAATGTTCTTTCCTTAACCTTATAATTATACAGTACTAGCAAAATCAATCGATTAGCTTTAATACAGTAGAAAACAGAGTTATCTTTCTTGTTTTAGCTGCTTGTTTTTTTAATTCTAAGCTGATATTTCCTGGTTATAATTGTCTTTTCAGGTTTATGAGCACCGTGTCATTTTGGATTTAGATACCATTATAAAGGTAGTGAAACCGTCCCCAGGCCGTTTCTGTTGTATAGTGTACAGACTATGCTCCAACATAGAAGATCAGGAAACAAAACACAAATCTACCTCCAAACATCATAGACCTGTACGTAGGAGGAGGTCAAGGCGATGAGTCACTGTCCATCTAATAAAAGAGAGATAGTCCACCTCCAAACATCATAGACCTGTACGTAGGAGGCGGTCAAAGCGATGAGTCACTGTACATCTAATTAAAGAGAGATAGTCTACCTCCAACCATCATAGACCTGTACGTAGGAGGCGGTCAAAGCGATGAGTCACTGTACATCTAATAAAAGAGAGATAGTCTACCTCCAAACATCAGAGACCTGAACATAGGAGGAGGTCAAGGCGTTGAGTCACTTTATATCTAATAAAAGAGAGATAGTCTACCTCCAAACATCATAGACCTGTACGTAGGAGGAGGTCAAGGCGATGAGTCCCTGTACATCTAATAAAAGAGAGATAGTCTACCTCCCAACATCAAAGACCTGAACGTAGGAGGCGGTAAAGGCGATGAGTCACTGTACATCTAATAAAAGAGAGATAGTCTGCCTCCTAACATCAGAGGCCTGTACGTAGGAGGAGGTCAAGGCGTTGAGTCACTATACATCTAATAAAAGAGAGATAGTCTACCTCCAAACATCAAAGACCTGAACGTAGGAGGCGGTCAAGGCGATGATTCACTGTACATCTAATAAAAGAGAGATAGTCTACCTCCTAACATCAGAGACCTGTACGTAGGAGGAGGTCAAGGCGTTGAGTCACTATACATCTAATAAAAGAGAGATAGTCTACCTCCAAACATCAGATACCTGTACGTAGGAGGAGGTCAAGGCGATGAGGCACTGTACATCTAATTAAAGAGAGATAGTCTACCTCAAAACATCAGAGACCTGTACGTAGGAGGAGGTCATGGCGTTGAGTCACTATACATCTAATAAAAGAGAGATAGTCTACCTCCAAACATCAGATACCTGTACGTAGGAGGAGGTCAAGGCGATGAGTCACTGTACATCTAATAAAAAGAGATATAGTCTACCTCCAAACATCAGAGACCTGTACGTAGGAGGAGGTCAAGGCAATGAGTCACTACATAATTATCTAATATTAAAAGGGAGATAATCCTCCAAACACCAACGGACAGACTATTAGAGGACATACTTGCCAACACTCCCTATTGCTAAATGAATTAACATTGAGCACTTTCAACCAGTGAATTTTCTAAACTATCTTATTTTCTAAGATCTGATGAATTCATTGACAAGAACAGCTCAAAAGATGCTGTTTAAAAGTGTTATGTTTCCCCTAGGGCGTACATACACATATTTTATTCATGCTTTTAATTCTGAGCATGCATAATTATCCCCATGGAAATTTCAAAAAGTTGGCTAGGTTTCTTGTCAAGGTGATCTGTTGACAGGAAAAAGTCACCTTCAAACACCAGTGACGAGACCATAGCGGGACAAGTCTATCACATTTTTTACCTACTAATGACAGAAAGAAAAATATTGATTGTTGTATGTGTGTGTGGCTGGTCAGAAAACATTACCTTACTGTGCTTTATAAGTAAAAATGCAGGCTCTTCAATTCATAATCCTCAGACTTTCAAAAGGGAGGTAACTCACTACACACTGTCAGGTATGCAACATGATGTTGACAGGGAGATAACTCACTGCATTTCTCCACAATTTTTGCGAGTAGCTAACTGTTAACTTTGGAGACTTTTAAAAACCTTTTGACAACACTTATATGTTTATATACCATCTTTACATTGTTAAGTTTATACAATAAATTTTACACTTGTCATATGGCTTTTGTGGTTTTTTTGCATGCAAAGTTAAACCTTGGCATGGTCGCTATGATATCAAATTATTCATCTTTCAACAACTTCTTCTTCAGTACCATAGGTGTCATGAAACCTTCACCTATACTTGCTGAAATATCCATGACCTTGACCCTTATTCAGAGTCACTTGGATAACCTATTTTTCAAAAAAAATCAAGTATGTTAATATGTTACAGAAAGAGACATGCCAAGTGTTCTCCCAGTACTTGAAACAGGGGTTGGTCACATGCACCAATGTAACAGGAAAGGAAAGAGAAATGTATGCCTAGACCAGGATTCAAACCCCGGACCCTTCAAACTCTAGACAGACACTCTACTAATTGAGCTTCCTGGTTGCTGGTGATCAACCCAGTCCAGTTCCACTACACAGACATTGTTTAATGTAATGAAAACATTGAACAATTTCTTCTTCATGTTTAGATTGATGATATTTGAGCCATTTGCTTGCTGGGATGAATGGATATAATGATGTTTATATCAATTACCCAATCTGATTAAAACACAGATCTCATGCTACATTACATAATGACATTGGTGATAAATTAAAATCTGTATTTTAATCAGATTGTGAATTACCTTGTCCTAGGGATCAAACAGGGTTGATACATTGAACAGTTTGACATCATTGAAACTATCGAGTCAAAACTTGTAGTATTTGGCTTATTTTCCTATAAGGTGTTATATTAGTTAAAAGGATTAACGTCAGCTCACATATTTGTTAACAAAAACCTCCTAGAACAAGTCACTTCATGATGTGTTACACAGTTTGTAGGCCTCACATGTTTATTCAAAAGAAGTTATTTTAAAACAATTTTACTGCAATGACCTTGAAAGTGGGTTTAGGTCAGTCATTTTAACAAATTGGATAGCCCCTCTTTGTTATTCAGATGTCATTTAAAATCATTAATACATTTGACTCCTGTGACCATTGATGTAGTTCAAAGTCATTTATTTGACCCAGCACGCTATGTACAGGCCAAATATCACAAGCCGATTGATGCCTCAGATGGTTATTTAAGTCATTGAACATTTTAAGGCATGTGAACTTCAGTGAGCCAAGGTCACTTATCTAAACACATTTGATGACCCTTCACCAAGCTCTTAATTGTTACAGGCAAAATATTGTGAAGCTTTGCTTCTTTGTCAATCAGATGATGATGTTGAAAGGTTTAAAGACATTTGACCCCTGCAACCTAATGTCCTTGAATATGGGTAAAGGTCTTTCATTTGAACAATTTTGATAGCCCTTCCACCCCAGCATGCTACAGGCCAAATTTCATGACTCTTAGGCTTCTTGGTTATTTAGAAAAAAATGTTTTAATCATTTTAGACATTTAACCTCCTGTGAATTTGAACAGGGCCAATGTCATTTTTTGACAAACATGATATCCCTATCTTGTATTAATTGCCTTTTTGGTTAGATGAGTTAAAATTCTAAATTTTAATGTTGATTGTTTCATCTCTCAGCTGAAATTCACAATGGTTGTTTTACATCATTCTCTAGTAGCAGAAAGAGAAATCCAACAGCCAGACTGGTAATCGAACCGGGACCCTCCAAAGTCTAGATGAACGCTGTGTCAATTGAGCTACCTGGTCCTGGACGGTCGAGCCAGTCCAGTTCGGCTAGCATCATTGATTCTTACATAAGCTACATCCGAAACGAATAATTATATTGTCAAACAAATATTTTGAAGACTTTTACGGTATGGATTATTTGTATTAATTAACTTTATAAACGACAGAGCAATTACAGATGTAGTTAGTTACCCTTTTTTAAACAACCACTCTTTCTCAAAAAATAATTGATATGCGAAAATAATTTAGAATATCCGGATAATTTCTACCAATTTCGGTTCTAGTTTTACAATTCATGGGGTACTTCCGGTGTATATCTCCACAGACGCACATGCATGCAGTTGTCAGTTGTTTACCTGTTTACTGTTAATTACAGGTAATGTACGTCGTATTATCAACTTCTATGGTTAACACGTCACTTCATTCCATGTATATCGTGCCAATAATCCTACTCATAAACCGGTATTAGTCTTAATACGCTTCTCTGTCAATGACTGCTTCAGTAAACAGGAACTCAGACTATACTGTAGATCGAAACACAGGCACCTGCATTTAATATGTAATTATATAAAATATTAGTAGGGTAGGGAAGAGTCCGAAGACCATTTCATATTTTCACATATTTACATACTAGATGCAGATAATACCAGATTTAGACATGTTGAGTGTTGACACCACTTTTGCTGGTACTACCTATATAACACCCCAACTCGCCCTATAACCAGTCAACCCAGGGTCGATGGGTTCAGGGTAATTACTTGCTTGATATTTCCAAAAGGGAACAAGTACTATAAAATTCTATTTAACACAGTTTATTTTAGAAAACATATATATTCACAACATTTAACACAGAATAATAGGCCTATTAAATTATACCTACATGAATCTAACCTTAACAAAACTAACCCCCCAGCTTCCCATCCTAACCCTACATCTAAATTATTCCTAAGTCCCTAAAAATATACCTACTGCAGAGATGAACCCAAGGAAGTTCACCCAGCGCTCTGCGTCCACATAAGACGAACACCCCAACTTATACACTCAAAGTTAACAATACGAAACGATGGACCAATCACAACAGAGGATTTACTAGCTGCGATAACGTAGCTTTCTGACGACGAGAGATTTTTTTTAAATATTGCGTCGGCCGGGTATTAATATTAGTACTAAGGATTTACAAGTAAACAGACTAGATACAGACGAGAAAGCAAAAAGAACCCGGAGAAATAACATTGACCACAGACAGGACACGTGTGCAGAACAGCATAACAAAGGTCAGGTAACACAGGTACACTGAGTACAGACACAACATTAACCTAATACACAGAACAAATCAAGCACACCAATGCTTATTTTGCATTGTCAGCTTGAGCTAGCCGTCATAAAACATACATCAATAAATGCCCACTGCTACATATGTCTGGAAACTGGCTAACCTGACTTAGTGACATTATAGCTAATATTAATTGCTGGGAACTATGGGAAAGAAGATAATTCTTCTACTGTAAAAGATGTGCATTGATTAGGCTGCCTTACAAGCATCAGCTGTAGAGAAATTTTCTTTAGCTCAGTGGTAGAGCATGGGGCTGGAGAGCCAAAGGTTGCTGGTTCAAGCCCAAGCGACAGCACTGTCACATAGTTCACATAGTTGTAGACGCCAATGGTAAACCTTGCAGCTTCTTAGGGCGCATTTTGAGATAGTTAAAAACTTTTGATTGTATTTACACTTCCGGTGCGCTTAAATAATAGGTATAATCAGGTGTGCAGATAGAGCTTAGCTTCAAATTTGAACTGATGGTTTTTATACGCCCGTCAAATTTGACTGGAGTATTATGGTATGGATTTGGCCGGCCGGACGGCGTAAACATTTGTTTTTCCGGCAATCTCCTCCTACATTTTTCAACCGATCTCTTTGAAACTTGGTATACATTATGATCATGATATGAAGTTGTGTCTCCCTTAAAAGAATTTTGATTCAACAATTTTTGCAAAAGTTATTGCCCTTTGTTCATTTCATGATTTTTTGTCCGGAGATTTTCTCCTACAATTTTTATAGCATGTCAGCTAACCACTCTTAGAATGATGCAGATCTTATTTCAATGTAAGAAAGTACATAACACTATATGGCATTTGACGGGCATATATTGTTCCGCCCTGAAGTACTCTTGTTCCAAAACTTGTTGAGTCTGTTCTTAAAAGAGTTTGGATTTGGAGAGTTAACCTTGTCTGGCAAAGTATTCCAGATATGTACCCCTCTGTTACCGTAGTTACTGTAGACAAGTTTACGCGTCCACTGTTTGAATAATTTCCTTGTGTTGTCTCTTGTTATGTTTGTGGGTGCCTTTTTGAACATATTTTCATATTCCACTATATCTATTCCTTCCAAAATTTTGAAGAGTTTGATGAGTCGGTCACGTCGGCTCTATCACGCTGGCACTCCAAAGTCGGTAATCCTAGTTTGCAGAGTCTTTCTGGATAAGCTAGATAAGCTATAATCTTTATCACTATTTCTCGTCCTACTACACTACTAAGATGTGATGACAAATGTTATTGTAAAAGATTTTGAAATTTTATGATATTATTCAGGGCTTTGTTACTCCTAAATATCTCTCGATCTGGATGCGCCTGTCTGATAGAAGCCAATCGGAATACCTGTCTAAGGCTGATTGAAATTTGAAACCCAAGAACTTATGTATGGAATGGATGTCCACAATATGCAGTATTTCTAGATATCAGTCTGGAATTCCACCCTCCATATCCATAAAAGTTTACTGACTCACAGGCATTACTCAATCACCACAATGTCACCTTTAATGGAACACATAGGCATGTGACAAGGCACTATCTAAGGAACATTAATAACATGAACATTCTATTGATATTATAATCTATTGTGAAAGCTTCAATCGCTTCACGAATGTATTGTTATATGTTAAGGTGTGCGGTTACATGTATATTGACATCAATTGCCTCATCGTTGACAGAGCCTTGATGTTGAAGCCATACAAGTTGTGATGTTGTCATCCGGTTCTTTACTCAGCCTTGACTGGCATAAGACCAGGGAAGGCCAAGAAGTTCTGGCATCTGTGCTACAGAGAAATCTCACTAAACTAAAGAGGTTTGGTAAGAAAATTAAAGTACATTTATTCAGTTTTATTTTCATTGTCTAAAACTGTCACATACAGATTAAAGTATTACTTATGATGGGATTAAAACCCAGGAAGAAAACTTTAGATGGATGTTCTAGCCAATTGAGCTACCAGGTTGTCTGCAATCATCCCAGTCAAGTTCCTAAATGAAATGCCATTGAAAAAATGTAGCGAAATCCATTTAAACACCATTTTCTTTCTCAGGGGTACCATATGGGTACAACAATGTGTATACTGTGTTGCTTTGTATGCTATGAGTCACCATTTATTTTCCATTTAAACACATTTTCTCTCTCTGTCAGGACCAGTAAAATTCTATCTAAATGGTGCTGTTTTTAAAGAAAATGGTATATACATGATAAAATTATTCTGGCGAAGGGGGAAAGTTTCAATGGGCAAAAAATTCCCTATACAAAGTTGTTGACAAAGTTAATTAAAAAGGAGGTCACTATAGTGGAGACCAAAAATGATTTCAAATGAAATGGACACTCATTAAAAAAATAAATAAATGGATATAATTCCTGATTTGTTGAACTTTTTAGGTTTGTTGGAAAGACCGATGGTACCCTTGCACATATCTGTCAGTGATGTCCGTTACAAAGTCTTCCTCCTTGGCAAAAGTGGGGTCGGTAAAACCAGCACGATAGCTAAACATTCAGGCTGCCAGATCCCAACAGTTCACAGTGAAACACAAGGTAAACAGCATCAGTTTTAGGGCTTTAACTCTCTACTGGAAAATTGTCAGTGCCCTGATAAATACAAAATGTATTCACATTTCACTGGTGAAATCCATATTTACCTGCAGTGTTAATTTCACCAGTAACAAATGTCGGATAACGTTGGGCCATTGGCCTTAACATTTAAAGCTCTGTATATCAACAATATTTAATTTGTTCATATTTTTTTTAATGTAAATGATGAAGAAAACAGACCCTTGTAAAATCACTGATCACATATTCATATTTCCAAATCCTGGTCACGTCACGGCACCATTTGGAACAGGAAAGAAAGAAGTGTGCTTCCGCCAGGTATCGAGCCCTTACTACTGAGCTAAAGGGAAGTTCTCTCTTGCGTGGAGCTGGAAGGAGACCATTAACATCCACCATTATTATTTCTTTACTCATGAGTTTTTATCTGTTTCCAGGTATTCAAACAACGACAGTATTTTGGCCAGTGAAAAATTTACAACTTAACAAGGCCTTCATGTTTCAAATACAGTTCTGGGACACAGGAGATAATTCAACAAAGAAATATGATCATATAATGCCAGTAAGTTTAAAATAATTTTGTTTGAAACAACACTTTTTCTCAGAGTTATAAGTGCTATGTAATCAAATGTCAAGGTCACATGTTATACAAATTATTGATTGTTTTGTTATGAAGAACACACAAATGAACTGTATGTTTTTACAAATTTATATGTTTGACTATATGCGTTTTACAAACCTGCTTATACACTGTGTGTTAACGACACCGAATATTGCTACCAGGCTGGCGGTGATCACACACGGTGTGTTACCGACACCGGATATTGCTACCAGGCTGGCGGTGATCACACACGGTGTGTTACCGACACCGGATATTGCTACTAGGCTGGCGATCACAAACGGTGGCCAGCAGTTGAAGGCGAGTTTTTTCTATATTTTCCTTACTTCAGAGGCTGTCATGTGCTTGAGGCTTTTTGGATCAATACCTTCCATTTTCAGCATTTACTTAAACCATAGAAAATGTTCCTATATGGGTCAATATATATACATGTATATCTTCCAGACTTACAAACACGTCGTCTGGTATCGTTGCAAACTTAAGAATAACTATCATGTGTCTGAATTAACATTTGTAGTACTTCCCTTCACATATTTTACTGCCTATAACTAAATAAAGATGTATCTACATTACACACATGCAAATTGCAAGTCCCCGTACAATGCTATGAAATTATTGTCAGCATATTTCTCATTATTTATGAGTTCGAAAATACGATAAATGTATGTAATGCATATACATATTAATTAGTTATAGGTATTGAAACACCACAAATATTCATTCAGACATGTGGTAAGTATCACTCATGAATTTTCGCCGAATCCAGGCAGCGTGTTTGCAAGTCTAAAAGAAATATTGACCGCTATAGGAATGTTCCCTGTGGTTAATTATAAACCCCTGTTGAAAATGTTAGGAATTGATCCAGAAAGCCCCAAGAACATACAAGCCTCTTAAGTAAGGAAAATATATAAAAAAAGAAACACTCACCTGCAACAGAAGCCCACCGTGTGTGATCACCGCCTGCCTGGTAGCTATATCCGGTGTCGTTAACACACCGCCAGTGTTATATTTCATATCTTATAAGTATAAGCATGATGATGTTTTTTTCTCCACAGGCTTGCCTGGACAAGGCTGATGCCATCATATTCCTGTTTTCCTTCGTAGACAAGAGTAGTTTTGAGGATATACCCCATCAGCTGACACGGATCAGTACTCCCAAAGATAACACCACCAAACTGCTGATTGGGACAAAGTATCCTTTTAGTATTTAACAAGCATACTGAGTATTGCTAAAGCAATACATGTCACCTGCCGGCATTAATCTCACACTTGTTATCTTAAAAGTGGACTAAAATACAACTGCAGGCAGAATATACAGTGTTTGATTCATAAGAACCTATTAAAAGATTTAAACGTGACCTTGAATGTCGAACAAGGACATTAGGTTCAATCAAGTTTATAGTCTTCCAACCCAGCATGCTTCTAGCATAATATCATTACCCTGGACCTTTTGGTTATACAGAACAAATCATTTAAAGATTAAATATCATCACTCTTGGCCTTTTGCTTATTAAGAAGAAATCATTCAAAGGTTTTAAACATAAATGACCCCTGTGACCTTGAATATAAGTCAAGGTCATTTATTTGAACAAACTTGGTAGCCCATCATCCCATCATGTTAGTGGCCAAATAACATCACCCTAGCCATCTCGGTTATTCAGAAGAAGTTGTTTTAAAGGTTTTAAACATATTTGACCCCTGTGAACTTGAATATGAGTCCAGGTAATTTATTTGAACAACTTGGCCAAATATCATCATCCTAGGCCTCTCGGTTATTCAGAAGAAGTTGTTTAAAGGTTTTTAAACATATTTGACCCCCGTGACCTTGAATATAGGTCAAGATCATTTATTTGAACAACTTTGGTAGCCCTTCATCCCAGCATGTTACTGGCGAACTATCATCACCCTAGGCCTCTTGGTTATTCAGAAGAAATTGTTTAAAGGTTTTAAACATATTTGACCCCTGTGACCTTGAAAATAAGTCAAGGTCATTTATTTGAACAAACACGGTAGCCGTTCATCCCAGCATGTTAGTGGCCAAATAACATCACCCTAGCCATGTCTGTTATTCAGAAGTTGTTTAAAGGTTTTAAACATATTTGGCCCCTGTGACCTTGAATATAAGTCAAGGTCAGTTATTTGAACAAACTTGGTAGCCCTTCATCCCAGCATGTTACTGGCCAAATATCATCACCAAAAGCCTCTCGGTTATTCAGAAGAAGTTGTTTAAAGGTATAAACATATTTGACCCCTGTGACCTTGAATATAAGTCAAGGTCATTTATTTGAACAAACACGGTAGCCCTTCATCCCAGCATGTTAGTGGCCAAATAACATCACCCTAGCCATCTCTGTTATTCAGAAGTTGTTTAAAGGTTTTAAACATATTTGACCCCTGTGACCTTGAAAATTGATGAAGGTCATTTATTTGAACAAACTTGGTAGCCCTTCATCCCAGCATGCTTCTGGCCAAATATCATCACCCTAGGCCTTATTGGTTACTGAGAAAAAGTTGTTTAAAGTAAAAAGTTGACGCCGGACGGACGCCGCGCCATGCCATAAGCTCACTTGGCCCTTCGATCCCTTTGGTGTTAATTTGGGAAAATGAAAAGTATACAATTAGCTTGTAACTGATTTTAATGTAACAAGAGGCCCAGAGGACCTGTATCGCTCACCTGGATATCTAAGCAATCATGGCAAAATATTCTCCAAATGAGATCCGAGGACATATGCCAGACCCCAAGGATAATCTGTATTAGATTTTTCATGCCCAGCAATTTTATGTATGGTTATGGGGTTGGAATCTGAACTGTTTCCAAGCTGTGAATCGGAAACTAGGTCCCTGGGGTTATGGCCAGACCCCAGGATCAATTCTAACATCATGACTGCATTGTCTCTTTTTGCCCAGCATTTGTATAATTAGTTTTGGGATGGGGATCTTAACCATTTCGAAGTAATGACCCAGAGGTTAAGTATCCAAGGGTGGGGCAGTCCCCAAGGCCATCCTGGAAGCATATGTGCATTCATCTATTTATACTCAGCAATTGTATATATGGTTATAGGGTTGGGATCTCAACTGTTTCCAAGCTGTGACTAAGAAACTAGGTCCCTAGGGGTTCAGTCAGACCCAGAGTTTATTCTAATATCATGACTGCATTCGGCTCTTTATGCCCAGCAATTGTATATATAGTTTTGGGGTGGGGATCTCAAACGTTTTAAAGTTATGGCCCAGGGACTATGTCTCCAAGGGTGGGGCCAGACTCTATTCTTCTCTTTATATATACTCAGCAATTGTATATAACTCGAACTTGTCTGAGATATTATGGTCCTTTGTAATTGTGTGAAGTTTGATCAAAATCCCCCAAGGAATGAAGCAGCTAGAGCGCTGACAAGGATTTTCTAAAAGTATTAACAGTGACCTTGACCTTGACCCAACAACCCTAAACCTCGAACTTGTCCAATATATTATGGTCCTTTGTAATTGTATGAAGTTTGATCCAAATCCCTCAAGGAATAAAGCCACTAGAGCGCTGACAAGGATTTTCTAAAAATAGTAACGGTGACCTTGACCTGACAACCCTGAAACTCAAAATTGTCCAAGGTATTATGGTCCTTTGTATTTTCCTATATACAGTTATTGATCTCAACATAATAAGATAAGATCAGGTTTATAAATAAGAATTACATGTAATCCAGCTTGAAAATCATTTTAGTAAATATGTGGATGTAATAGCTTGATTTAGCTGTGTATCCAAGCAATGTTCAGTAGTGTGTTCAATGGTTAACAATGATGAACAATTTTTCAAAAGATATTTTGAATATATTTGATCATGTAAAATGACAAGATTCCCTTGAATCAACAGTAATATTCTTTGTTTAATGTTCTGAGGATGACCGCCCACATCTTTACTTTCCTTAACCAGTCCAGATTTGACCAGTTTGCTCACAGTGAGATTACACAGAGGGACATCAGAGACTTTGAACACAACTGGAAAATACCAATTTTGAAAACCAGAAATATTCCAGACGCAGAAAATCAGAACAGTTTTAATGATATTGCACAGAATCTCAACATAATTTGCGAACATTTGTGGCAGAGAGATCTGAAAATAGGAGGCAAAGGTCCCCCAGGTGATAATAAAATATCTTATTGCTAATCGGACTATTGTTTATCTTTATCACAAACAGTCATTGCCATATCCTTATTTGTGTAAGTATGATCAGGTATCGCTGTTACAGATTTTGGCAGTTATACATGGATCTTTAATTAAGGTTAAAAATCCATAGCAACCATCAGTTAGTGGTAAAGTTAACCTGCATGGTTGTTACAATCAGGGGAACATTTAGCTAATCAACAGGCACTAATGATTAGTAACATTTAATTTTACATCTAATCATGTTCGCCAATGTCATATCTAATTATGGAAATAGCGCTGTTTATAGTAATATTGTGTCATTTTCAGAAAAATACAGCAACAGAGAAATTTGATTAATTTGTCTGGGTTAGAGAATTTCTATTTTAACTTTTGCAAACTCTATAGAACTGGGAAGGTGTGGGAGTTTCTCTAACATAACCGACCTATATTTTGTGGTCCATTTGGTGAGCTGTGACTCCATGGTATTTGTTCACTAATATTATAAAGAACAAGTTTATTTCAGAGCTTTAATTTCAAATCACCCTGCGTTCGTGGTCTGTCCTTCCGTCCTTAAACAATTCTTGTTATCAGTATTTCTCAAGAAGTGCCAAAGGGATCTTTCTCAAATTTTATATGTAGGTTCCCCTTGGTCCCTAGCTGTGCAGTGCAACTTTCGAGACTTATCGGATAAACAACATGGCCGACAGGCAACTATCTTGGATTTTAATAGTGAAAGTTTGTTATCACTATTTCTTGAGAAGTACCAAAGGGATCTTTCTCAAATTTGATATGTAGGTTTCCCTTGGTCCCTAGCTGTGCAGTGCAACTTTCGAGACTGATCGGATAAACAACATGGGCGACAGGCAACCATCTTGGATTTTGATGGTGAAAGTTTGTTATCGCTATTTCTCGGAAAGTTCCATAGGGATCTTTCTCAAATTTGATATGTAGGTTCCCCTTGGTACTTAGCTGTGCAGGGCAACTTTTGAGACTGATCGGATAACGACATAGCCGACAGGCAGCCATCTTGGATTTTGATAGTGAAAGGTTGTTATCACTATTTCTTGGGAAGTACCAAAGGGATCTTTCTCAAATTTGATATGTAAGTTCCCCTTGTTCCCTTTTTGTGCAGCAGTGCCTGAAATGGATGGATGCCTGCTCGCCAATGGAGGTTAAAGTCTTGCTCGAGCGACCAAAAGTTGTCAAAAGTGAGGTAGTCACTGGCCCAACAAAATAGTTTGGGCGACTGTCAAAAAATTAATGAATAAAAGAAACTATAAAACCTTCCACACTAACTGGGGGGCAGTACATTTTTCTGTTGTCATTACTTCGATTTGAATCGAACTGTCCGTGATTTAGAAAATGTGATGATTTTTTTTCAAATTTTCTAAATACTGTCAGGGTGTCTTCTTTGAGGTGCGAGTTTTGTGTATTTCTTTTTTGGGAAGACCTGAATGCAGTCATGATATTAGAATTGACTTCAGCGTCTGCCCCACCCTTGCAGACTTAACCCCTGGGTCATAACTTTAAAAGGATTGAGATCCCCATCCCAAAACTAATTATACAAATGCTGGGCAAAAAGAGACAATGCAGTTATGATGTTAGAATTGCTCCTGGGGTCTGACCATGCCATAACCCTAGGGACCTAGTTTCCGATTCACAGCTTGGAAACAGTTCAGATTCCAAACCCATAACCATACATAAAATTGCTGGGCATGAAAAATCTAATACAGATTGGCCTTGGGGTCTGGCATATGTCCTCGGATCTCATTTGGAGAATATTTTGCCATGATTGCTTAGATATCCAGGTGAGCGATACAGGCCCTCTGGGATCATGTCAGGTTTTAACTAGGGTTGAAGAATTAAAAATATAATGTTTTATTCTGTTTTACATATTACAAACATTGTCATGTTATATGTAATTTAAATGTGCTGAAGCGTTCTGCTAAATGCTGTGGAAATATTTCTTCCCAAAATTATTTGGGCCACCAATATGTCACTTGGGCAAGTGCTTCAAATTTTTTACTCGCCCAAAAAAAAATTGGGGGCCAGCCAATGCAGGTTCCCCCCTATCCTTTATAGTTCATGTTTACTTTTGAAACTGATCAGTTAAACAAAATGGCCTACCGACAGCCGTCTTTGATTTTTGACCTTGAAGGTTTGTCAGTACACTATTTAACTCAGGAATAACTTGAGGGATCTTTCTCAAATTTGATATGTAGGTTCACCTTGATCCCTCGTTGTGCATGTTATATTTTGAGACTGATCATAAAAACAAAATGGCTAAAGGAAGAACTTAACAGATCTTTCTCATATTGCAATGATCGATTCTATTTCTTTCACATTAAGTACTGTACTAGTAAATATGTGAAATGACAAACTCACTTTGAAGGTTAGCTTTCATACACAACAGTATTAAGTTTAGATCAAAAGTTATCTCAAGGTGCATTTACTGTTAACATGACTCGATCAAACAGATGAGAGGAAAGAAGAGAAAAGATCGAACTGACAAAGAACTAATGAAGATGGTACAATGGTGGGCGCCAAGATCCCTCTGGGATCTCTTGTTTTTTTTATTCAAATGTCTTTAAAAGATATTGTGATATAATTAGGTAGAAGGTATAGTGGTGTGCTAATCTTTGTTATGCTTGTGTTTTCTTTTCTTTTTATGGTGCGACACGTGTTCCTCTGAAGTTTCCGTAGTCTCCACATTTGAGTGATCTTCTATTTCAGCAGCCTCAAAATTGTCATCAACAGAGCAAGTATTCATTTCTAAATCACGGTGTTTATGTTTTTTCTTGTGCTTTTTGACCACCTTCTCTTCAATATCAGCAGCCACACAATGATCATCAACAGAGCAAGTACTCATTTCTAAATCACGATTTTTATGCTTCTTCTTGTGCTTTTTTATCACATTTGACTTGTCTTCCTCTCCTGTTTCACCAGCCTCAAAATGATTTCCGAGAGAGCAAGACTTCATTTCTAAATCACGGTTTTTATGCTTCTTCTTTTTCTTGTGTTTTTTTACCGACACTCCATTTTCTTCCTCTATATTTTCATCACAAGCATCAACATTCAGAGACAGATCTCCATTAGCACAAACATCATCATTACCATCAGTATCTACACAATCTGGATTTTCAACAAGGTTCATTCCATGTTTCTTTCTCTTCCTTTTGCTTTCAGGTTCACTTTCTTTTTCTCCGTGTTTCCGTTTTTTCGTTCCGTTTTCCTCAATAAAAGTTTCCTCGTCACTGTCATTACTTTTTTTACACTTCTTTTTCTTTGATACAACTGTTGTATCAGTTGTTTCGATATCATTTGAGCATGTTTCTTGCTCGCTACTGATTTCAGATTCATCCTTCTCTCTCATTTTCTTCTTTTTCTTTGCATGTTTAGGCACTGTTCTGTTGACGTCTGGGTTGGTTTCCACCCTTTCAAAACAGGCTACAAAGAACCCATTAGACAGTGAGTTTTCAGGCGACATTCGTAGAAAACAGTCTGAACTGTCATAACCAGGGAGACCTCTGTCTGGCCAATCAGGAAACACCTTACAAACTTTGAACTGACCCTCAACAATGGTTTCCAGTTCACTGATGACCTCTTCGTTCTCCTCAGCATGAATAGAACATGTTGAGTAGACTACTCGCTTCACGTTTGGGAACTTCATGGCATGTTTTAGCATTGTCACCTGCAAACGAAGATTTATAATTAGTGTATTATACTATTAACTAAGTATTAATGTATAATTAGGGTCACCAAAAAGTTTTTCTTTATTTCATTGCATTTCAACCAATTTTATTCAAGAAGGTACAAGAATGGGATTAAACAAGAGGCTTTGACTATAGTATACTGGCAAATTTTCACCCAGTCAACTTTTGCCCTTCACCCATGACGTCAATTTTCGCCTAGTGTTAATTTCGTCCTTCACAGTTCATTACTATGTGTATTCTATGTTACAAAATACAAGAAACTTTATTTTTGTTGTATATATGTAACATGAAACATAAGCTCTGAAGATCAGAGCTATTCTTACGACAGAAATGTTGTTTACTCACATTCGCTAATCCTATTATGGTAAATTTGCACTAATCACGTAGGGCAAAAAAGGCGCAAATTAAACTCTAATGAAAATTTCTCTGTATACAGTATATCTTTCTTCTTTTTGCGAAAGAATTTTTGAAGGAGTACAGCTGCAGGGATAAGAATGATCAATTATTTACCTGAAAGTTTGACAAGGTGTCCAGTCTTTGAGATGAGGATGTTGATGGGTCATCAATTATTTCATTCATTCTGCTCACAATTCCTGTAAATAAGATGATTTATTCTGTAAATACTACAAACATTCCAGTGATTCGACTAGTAATTATAACTTGTATATACAGTAAAACCTTGACAAAGCACCCCTCACTTAATCTGCTACCACCAACATACTTTGGTATGTATAAATAATATCAATATTACACTAGTAAAGATTACATGTTTAACAACTATTACCAAAATGAGGATGGAATGCAGTCAGAGAAGAATATCAAGTTAACCAATAGTATATATTGCTTAGTGCTGGGCTTTTGAATCACATACCTAGCTATTTTAAAGGTTAAGGTTAAAGTCTGCCGAGTTGTTTGGAAGGAGACCACCGCAATGTTAGCTAGTTTAGGTGAAAAAAACGTTTGTTCTTTGTGGCCTAATGCAAAACATTTCGTAAAAACCTGCATTAGGGTCATCCCTTCATTTACAGTATTTATCCTACAATAAGCCCCAGGGGTCAGTTCACAATTTTTTTTAATCAATTTTCTTCTGAACTGCAGTATATATGAGTAGGCTAACTACCAGACATGGGCTTATTATTGGATTAATACGGTATATACCATCTGATCCCTATGATAAATACAGTATATAACGTCTGATCCCTATGATAAATATGATATATAACATCTGATCCCTATGATAAATACAGTATATAACATCTGATCCCTATGATAAATACAGTATATAACATCTGATCCCTTTGATAAATACGATATATATAACATCTGATCCCTATGATAAATACGGTATATACCATCTGATCCCTATGATAAATACGGTATATAATGTGTGATCCCTTTGATAAATACAGTATATACCATCTGATCCCTATGATAAATTCGGTATATAGCAGCTGATCCCTATGATAAATACAGTATATACCATCTGATCCCTATGATAAATTCGGTATATAACATCTGATCCCTATGATAAATACGGTATATAACATCTGATCCCTATGATAAATACAGTAAATACCATCTGATCCCTATGATAAATACTGTATATAACGTCTGATCCCTATGATAAATACGGTATATAATGTCTGTTCCCTATGATAAATTCGGTATATAACATCTGATCCCTATGATAACTACAGTATATCACGTCTGATCCCTATCATAAATACGGTATATAACATCTGATCCCTTTGATAAATACGGTATATAACATTTGATCCCTATCATAAATACGGTATATACCATCTGATCCCTATGATAAATACTGTATATAACGTCTGATCCCTATGATAAATACAGTATATAAAATCTGATCCCTTTGATAAATACGGTATATAACATCTGATCCCTATGATAAATACAGTATATACCATCTGATCCCTATGATAAATACAGTATATCACGTCTGATCCCTATGATAAATACAGTATATAACATCTGATCCCTTTGATAAATACGGTATATAACATCTGATCCCTATCATAAATACGGTATATACCATCTGATCCCTATGATAAATACGGTATATAATGTCTGATCCCTTTGATAAATACGGTATATAACATCTGATCCCTATGTTAAATACAGTATATACCATCTGATCCCTATGATAAATACGGTATATAACGTCTGATCCCTATGATAAATACAGTATATAATGTCTGTTCCCTATGATAAATTCGGTATATAACATCTGACCCCTATGATAAATACCGTATATAACGTCTGATCCCTATCATAAACACAGTATATCACGTCTGCTCCCTATCATAAATACAGAATATCACGTCGGATCCCTATGATAAAGACAGTATATCAAGTCTGCTCCCTATCATAAATACAGTTTATCACGTCTGATCCCTATCATAAACACAGTATATCACGTCCGATCCCTATGATAAAGACAGTATATCAAGTCTGATCCCTATGATAAATACGGTATATAACATCTGATCCCTATGACAAATACAGTATATCGCGTCTGATCCCTAGAAAAATATGGTATATAACATCTGATCCGTATGATAAATACGGTATATAACTTCTGATCCCTATCATAAATACAGTATATCACGTCTGATCCCTATGATAAATACGGTATATAACATCTGTTCCCTATGATAAATACGGTATATAACATCTGATCCCTATGATAAATACAGTATATCACGTCTGATCCCTATGATTAATACGGTATATAACATCTGTTCCCTATGATAAATACAGTATATAACGTCTGATCCCTATGATAAATACGGTATATAACATCTGATCCCTATGATAAATACAGTGTATAACATCTAATCCCTATGATAAATACGGTATATAACATCTGATCCCTATGATAAATATGGCATGATTCAGCATGACCATCAAAAGTTCTCATCATGCAACTATCAATACATATTAAATAATCTCAAAACCAGAAATTCAACAATGACACAGGTTTATTCCATGTCTAGCATCAACATGCTCAAATCCTACCAGAACCATAAACTTGTCAGCACCAACTTTAAGCATTCTTAAATAATTACAGCCAAGCCAGTGCACTTAGCATGGGGCTGCATGCACAGTGGCCAAGTGGTCAACTTAAAGGCGTCTGTCTACAATCACTAGCTAGCCTAGGTTGGAGTCACCAGTATTGCTGAAGGTCGGGTTTTTTTCGCCAGGTTTTCCAGTTTTCCTTCACCACCAAAACCGGGCTAGTCCATAAATGACCATACTGTTAATAGGACATAAAGCACAACCAAACTAAACCTTATCAGAATTCAAACCCTTTAGACACTTTTGGCGAGCCCTGTGAACTTTTCAGCACCGAATTAAAACCTATCAAACATTTCTAGTCTAACCAGTAAACTTACCGGAGCCACTGCAGGAGGGGTCCACCAGCATGTACTCCACATCCTTGTAACGGGCATCCTGGGGATTGACCTTGAGGAAATCCTGACAGTTAGGTATGACACAAGTGACTCCTACGTTCCTCATCAATCTCTGTAGTGTAGCCATCCTGCGGCCATCCTTGTCTAAGGCAAACACAGTGCTGTGTGGGAAAATAAGGAGAACCTACGATAATCACTGTACTGTGTGGGAAATAAGGAGAACCTACGATAATCACTGTGCTGTGTGGGAAAATAAGGAGAACCTACGATAATCACTGTGCTGTGTGTAGGGAAAATAAGGAGAACCTACGATAACCACTGTGCTGTGTGGGAAAATAAGGAGAACCTACGATAATCACTGTGCTGTGTGGGAAATAAGGAGAACCTACGATTATCACTGTGCTGTGTGTGGGAAAATAAGGAGAACCTACGATAATCACTGTGCTGTGTGGGAAAATAAAGAGAACCTACGATAATCACTGTGCTGTGTGGGAAAATAAGGAGAACCTACGATAATCACTGTGCTGTGTGGGAAAATAAGGAGAACCTACGATAATCACTGTGCTGTGTGGGAAAATAAAGAGAACCTATGATTATCACTGTGCTGTGTGGGAAAATAAAGAGAACCTACGATAAACACAGTGCTGTGTGGGAAAATAAAGAGAACCTACGATAATCACTGTGCTGTGTGGGAAAATAAAGAGAACCTACGATTAGCACTGTGCTGTGTGTGGGAAAATACAGAGAACCTAAGATAGTCACTGTGCTGTGTGTGGGAAAAATACAGAGAACCTACGATTATCAGTGCTGTTTGGAAGAAAAGATGGGGAGTAAAAGGCAAATAGTGTGCCTAATGGGAAAATTATGGGGAGGCAATGGAAATAAACTAGAAAACAAATGTTAATATTTTCAAAGTTTACCTGGTTATCCATTTCATAGAAAATACATGCATACAGAAGAACTCCTCATGATTTAAAATTATTGAAACACTTAAACGACAGAATTTTTGCCAAACCAAATTAAACAACTACATGGAGTAGATTTCAGTCATAATTACAATTGGCCAGAAAAAAATAAGCATTTAACCTGCTTAACACATTCAAATTTAAGGCTTATACCAGAAGCCAACTCCAGTCCTTTTCAGGTAAACCATTGCATGGCCGATTGAAGAGTATAGTGATTAATTGAAATGTTTGGGAGCCACAGCAGGAGATCATCTGAATGACATCATATGTATAGTAATTATATTACAGCAGAATATCTCTAAATGTCTTGTTTTTAATGATCCCAACCACTTGTTCAAGGATTCAATAGTACATAAAAATGACAAAACACAGTGTCAACTCATAATGACAAAACTACAACTACAGTAACCCAGACGACACCCAACAGCCAGGCAACAAATTTAAGTTCTGTCTTTATAAACAGGTGTACATGTCTTACCCTTTGTTGTTGATCAGACTTGCAACATGGCTGGTCTTGTTACCGGGGGCGGCACAGCAGTCAAAGATGGTGGCACCCTCTGGTGGGGAAAGGATGTGGGCTGGGAAGCAACTGGCCTGTAAATCATCAAATTGTTTAAATTAACGAAACCTAGTCTTGACTGTTAATGACGTATGTACAATATTTCTGCACAATGTGTAACTATGCCAAATTAATAAACCAATGTTTTTATGGAATTCACAAGTTTATATCATCTGAGAATTAGACGATTTTTCCAGAATATCATTTTCAAATACAATTCACAGTATATTAGAACTTTTTTTTATGTCAATCAATATTGTTCTAAGAGATGCTGTTACTGCAGGGTTTAGCATATGTATACAAATGTACATGTACGTAAAGGAATTGTTCAGAAAAGAAAACAAGAGATCCTAGAGGGACTTTGGTGCCCACCATCATAAGCTCTTCATTAGTTCTATGCTAGTTAGATATTTTCTCTTCTTCAGAAATAGTGATAGCAAACGTTTATGTATCAAAATCGTTTCTCTTCTGATCAAGCTGAAAAATTTCAACATGCACAATTATGGACCAAAGGGAACAGTGGTGAAACTTGAGTAAGATCCATCAGAAAATTTCTGAGAAATAACAATAGCAAGAAACTGTTTAAGGAAGGACCATGGATAAAAGGCGATTTGAACAGCCCACAATTGAAAGATGGTTACAGGTTAAAACAAAACTAGATTTACCTAAAAACGTGGACTTTACGGATACTTCTTCTACCCTCATTTCTGTTTCTATATAAATATTGTTCGATATTTTAGTTTGAAAGTAAATACTTATATATATTGAATTCATCAACCTCATTTTATTACATGGCCCACTGCCTGACCATAGTGTACCTTCACATTAAGTCTGACCTCCATTCATGAAACGGTAACCAAAAACATCCGCTAGAAACCTATGCCTGTGTGTTGTATTTTCAGCTTGAGATCATATTGAGGTTGCAGTGAGCCAATTTTATAACATGACATATTGCTTGACTATAAAGTACCCTAAACCAAGTTTGAAGTCCATATATGAAAAGATAGCCATTCTTTAGAAACTTGTATTACATTTCATTTCAGTACCTAAGGGCAAAGGTCAAATGAAGGTCATGGTGATCTCATTTTAGGATGCAACACATCACCTCCCCATGATGTACCTATATACAAAGTTTGATGCCTATTGATCATGAAACAGTGGCTGATATATGCTCATGAAACTGAATAAATTTTAATTGTTCTATGTTTAAGTTATTGAGGTCAAGGTAAAAGGTCAATTAAAGGTCACATTGACTGCATTTTAGGATGTGAAATACTTCCTTCTCGTGATATATATATCTATATACATGTGCAAAGTTTGATGTCTATTCAAAAAACAGTAGCTGAGATATTCTCCAGAAACCATTTTTTCAGTACTTGAGGTCAATGTCAAATAGAGGTCACAGTGACTTCATTTTAGGATGTGCCACACCACCTTCCCATGATGACCGGTAGTACAGACGGACAGAAGCACACACGCAAACACCAATGCCCCCAATTTTGGTCAAAACAGGGGTATGAAAAGGGGATTTGAATTATGTCAATGGTGGATTATATCAAGGTTTCACTGTTGAAATAATATAATACTAAGGTCATCAGTTACCCTATCTTGTAATACAATTTTCCCAGACGTAAGAAGCTCATTTTCATGGAAATCTGTGCGTGGAGGAAAAACGAGGACGTCGTGCAGGTGTGGGTCCTGTAGGAAATGATAGTCCTGTAGGTTACTCACTGCGTCCTGGAACCTGAAACACAACAGTATAGTATTGAGGAATTAAAAAAATATATATATTTTTACAATTTGTTTCATTGCGTCTAAGTATAAAAGTTTGAAATTTACTTGCAAACAAAGTGACATTAAAGTGAAACATTTTTATACAATATTAAATCCCAAAAAAAAATTGCAATGACTGCATTCAATTCCAGTTGAGCTTTTTGAAAGACAGGCGACTAAAACCAATAATCTTTATGGCGTTATCTAGAATCTTCCTTTAAAAAAAATACCCTTGAATGTCCTTGGCGGGAGTGACTGATCGTTCCCAGCCTTCAGATTCCAAAGTACTGATCACATCAGATACAGAAGATTTTAACAGATTGACCCTCACATATCTGGGTAAGGTACCTGTAAAAAATATAGAAACAAAGACAGGTGACATTAAGGACTGGACACTCAGGTCATAGATATGTACGGTAAATTTGCGAGTATGGTGCGCACTCGGATATAGTATAGTGCGCAGGTACGTTTTTGGGGTCAGATTTGAAAAAAAAAAATTGAAAATAGAAATGAATTTTTTTTTTTGGAAAAAAAAAAATCCTTAAAATAAACGGTATCAAATAGGAAAAGTAGCATCAAAGGTAGCTTGGTGTTTATAATGCCAATTAATTAACGATTGATTGATTGGAGTCAACAAGCCCATAAAGGTCTCCCTACCGCTTGGAGCGAGTGGATGATGGGACGAATCCTGTAGAAACCAAACGAAGAAAGTGTAGGCCTAGCTAGGCCTAATTCTGATGCCAGATAATCGCCGATCAACTTATGTTTCGACATCTCAGCGGTTTTCTCATAATTACGAAAATGTAGTGTTTCAATTAAAGGCTCCGTTCCATGTTAGTTCTGTGGTGGGTTTCTTTCAAATCGCTAAGCCTAGTGTGCATGTTTTTTCCCCGGCCCACTTTCATGTTTTGACGTCATCGATAACCTCGTGAGTTATTTCAATATTATAAAGCATCATAAAAATAGGGTATTCTGCTTTTGTTTTTTCCCTTCGAGTAGATTTGAAAGGGATGTGTCCACGCTTCTAGTATAAACATATTTTTTATAATCCCTTTACGGTCAAATCAGTCTGTAGTTCTAACGGTGCAGTAGGGCTTCACGCCACGGCACATGTTGAGGAGTGAAAACAACACGGTCCCTCGATCGTGACTGCAAATAATTTCAATTAAATTGCAGTACAGTAGGGCTATTCTTAATCGGTAATCACTGATAGAGTATTAGCTAATTACTGCATTGTAATTTGTATTAACTGTGGTGTTGAGAAGTGTCAATAATTGTCGCTGAAGCATGGCGATCCTACCTAGCCTATAATTGACTGGGATCAGACGGTCGGTGGTTTATGCCCTCCGGTCATGATCAACTTACCTGTAAAATGTTACCTGTGCCCAGCTTGACCACAGATTAACGATTTTAATCATTTAAGAGTAGGTAAAAATTGTGTCACCAAATTTCATTATTTGTTGTTATTTTAATCTTCAAACTTATCATATATGACCGACGACTCAAAATAAAACTATTTGAAGGGAGGTAATCCAATATGGCGGACCAGAAACTCAGGAATGATAACCCAAGAATGCCTTGTTCCTGCGTATAGTGCGCACCCCTTTTCTGACATGACAATATTTACCTAAAAAAGTGTGCACTATACGGGCAAATTTATGGTAATACTGCATTAAAGCCATTTTGGTCTCTGTGGAGTATAACATATAGATAGATCTCCGCTACGATAACAAACAGAGGTACTAGGTTTATACTGTGTAATAAAGTGACTTTGACCTTTTTAGCTTTAAAGTCACCTTGACCTTTTTATATTACTTTATTATTGTGAGTAATAAACAAATGTAGGAAGTGGTGTTGTATATAATATCCATTTCATTAGAAACTGAGAAACCTGCCCTTCAACTGTATTTCAAATTTAATTGTCAATCAGAAGCTCCACATGTTTTGAAAATGTGAACCTTTACCTGCAAATGAAGTCTCATTCTGAGGCAGAAGTTGTTCCAACGATGTAACACCAGCATCAGCTAGCATAGACTCATACTTCTTTGTCAGGGCAGCACGATTACGAGTTATTACTTGCTGAAACATAACAAAAATTACATTTGTAGTATGACATTTAACAAATACAGAATAGAACATCCAATTATGTCTCAAGTACGCAATGAAAGTGGCAGTGTTTTGCAAGACATGAAAGTTGAGGGTTTAAAATCAGGGATAAATCACAAATTCTGATTCCTTTATGTATCAAGCCTCTAACATTTTGAAGGTCGAAAGGCATTTTTATGAGATGGTATACACAACTATACCCTCAAAGGGAGAAAAACTGAAACACTGGGTTGATTTGACATACACATGTGCTCAAAAGTAAAGCCAACTCTTTCATATGGATAAGAGTACATTTGACACTTGAAGGCAAGATAAGAAATGACGACCAAAGACAGCATGGTGTCAAATGGTGAAAACAGAGTTGAAAGACACGAATGTACATGTACAACTGACAGCTTGGTGACGGATTAACAGGAGTTTAGAAACTTCCCTGCTGTCCAGGACACCTGCAGAGAGCTTAGTAGCTAGGCTGTAAGTATATAGTAATTTGGTGTTACGTAGGATCTAAACATGTGGAATTTTGCAGTGATCTACCACGAATATATATATAAATATTATATTAAACACGCCAGTTCCATATAGTTGTAGCTATAGAAAGTAAAAAAGAACACTCACCTTGATTCGTCTGCTGGATAACTGAACTACTCAGTAGTGAAGCAGGCATAAAACCGCTCAAACAAACAAACAAATCTCACCTTGAGCCTTCCAGCATGATTGATTCCACGGCCGACTACAAAATCATGGACAAGAGTCTGAGCCAGCAGGTTATCTCCCTTCAGTAAGTGCTCTTTAGTGAGAAGTTTAGTGCGGTCCACCAGCTGCTGCAGCAAGGCGCCATACTTCAGTGTCTCACACACCAGTCCAATCAACTGGGGTTTGTTCTGTAGATCATCATTATTTATGTAAATTTACTGAAGAAAAATGTTTAACACCAAAATGAAATCACTGAAATATGTGGTGAACAAATAAGTATGTATCAAAACAGAAATGAGACATGTTGTTGGTTCAGTATGCACTAGAAATAAGATCTAGAATAGTCACAGGAATGTCAGATTTATAACTCCTGTCTCTGTACCTATGGTCTGTAAATTTGAATGAAAGATGTATGTTGAAGGAAAGACCTTGAGTTCCGTTGAGGACATCTTATTGTAACAATCACTTTGCAAAAACAAGAGGCCCAATGGGCCTGCATCACTCACCTGGTATTAATTTCACACTTGTAACCTTAAAAGTAATCTAAAAGTAAAACTATAGGCAAAATATCAGTACTTATGACTATAATTTATTCAAAGGAACCTGTTAAAAGATGTTAAAACATTTGACCGATGTGACCTTGAAAGACAATTAAACAAGGTCATTACAATGAACAAACTTTACAGCCCTTTATCTCAGGATGCAACTTGCCAAATATCACTTCCCTTGACCTTTTCTTTATTGAGAGTAGGTCATTTAAAGGTTTATACATATTTGACCAAATGTGACCTTGAAAGTGGGTCAAGGGAATTCAAATGAATAAGCTTGATAGCCCTTCACCCAATCATGCTACTGGCCAAATATCAACATCCTGGGCCTCATGGTTATTCAGAAGAAGTCATTTAAAGATCTTAAACATATTTAAACCTGGGTTGGTACTTGAAAAAAAGGGAATAGTGTAAAAGCTCAGCGGCAGAGCATCGCACCTGTGAGCCAAGGGTCGCTGGTTCAAGCACCAGCGATTGCACTATCTTTATCACTATTCCTCGTCCTACTACATTTGTAAGGAGTATCTAACTATATTATCATGAAGAACTTAGTTTTATGAAAAATGTACTCACTAAGTTATCCCTTTAAATGTTATGTGTACTGAGTATCAATCAAATTAGCGCAGTATTTCTAATCAAAGGGGCATAACTCTGTTAACAGGGGAAATAATTCAAATTCATACACTGTATTCACATCACTTTGATATAAGTTACTGTGTAACAATTGCAAGTATCATCTAAATTGGTGCAGTGATTTGATAGGAGCAATATTAATATGAATAGTGTTGTGCTACTGTTTAGTGTATCCTCATGGTCAAAGACTGTATTGAAGGAGGGTGGAATGTTGCAGAAATGGACTCGGTCAGTCTTGGGTACTTATCGGTTACATATCACAATAAAATAAATTTCACGCCCATTGCTTTTGTAGTAAATTGAGCTCCCGCTCATACTACAAATGTCAGCCTGACCAGGATTCGGACCCAGGACTCACCAAATTCTAAACAGACTTCCTACCAGTTGAGCTACCTTATCGCTGACAATCAACCAAATCCAGTTTTGCTACATTCCTCCCTATTTTTCTCAGGCCGGCAACAGTTAGAAAAAATGCCACTCTGATAACTGTGTGTGCTTATCAAAAACCGAAACTGGGTAACCATGTTTTCTTTTGCAATAAAATACGGCCACCAATGGCTCTTTATTTTGATAAAGATATTAAAACTTAATTCATTTAATACACAAACAAAGATAACTCAATACTTATATGTCTTGTCAGATTTCGTAATCCCGCTAAATACACAGACTTTCAGTATACAAATTAAACATTGTCGATAAAAGTGTGACAAATAACTTTCAGTGCTTCATTAGTAAAACTAGTGCTAAATCAAACAAATTCAAACATTTTTCTTTCTATGAACTGTTCTTGATTGTGGAACAAGCTTGATGAGAATGTGAAACGCGCCGGCCGAGACAGTTGAGGGTTTCAAAGACGCTTGTTTTATAGGGCTGTAACGATACACCTATGCCACGATACGATAAGTATCACGATATCTAGCCACGATACGATACATTTTGATATGATACAGGATGACGAAATGTTATGCTTCCTCTTCAAATGCGTCGCCATGTTTGATGTGTTCCCTGACTTGTAACTTTAATCTACAAAACATATGCGGCAAGTGGACAGTGATTTTCCATCGGTGACATTTAGCAGGAATCCAAAATGCTGCCAAACAGTTGAGCGAAAGGAAGCCGGAGTTTTTTTTAACCCTTTATGCTGCTACATTGATTTCTATGTAAAGGGGCACCACTGCTGAATTAATTAATAATTATTGAAATATAAATTAACTTACTTGATTTTTCAAATGTGCATAACTTGAAAAATATATTTTATATGTGAATAAAAGTTATATGTAAATTGTTCGTTATTGTCTTTAGTTTACATTAACGTTTTCAATTCTAAAGTTGCTTCAGTATTTACCTGTACAGGTTTAAATAAAGGTAAGAAAGGGTGAAACTTTTAATTAATCGGATTTAAGCACCAGAAAGATCATTTTAAAAATTATTTTTGTCAGCAAATGTGATTGGCAAATGATATCAGAGATTATAAACTTCATTTATGATATAAGACGCTGTACATTTACACAGAGATTCTCAGGTAAAAAGATCAGGTATTTCATCAACAATTGCATGTGATTTGCTACAGGTTTCAAGTCGTCATTCGATATATTTACTGTCACAGACGGCATATAGTATAGATATATATTACCGTAAAAACCCATGTAATTTGCGCACTTTTTTTTCAGAAATTTAATACCCAAAGTGTGTGGGGGGGGGTAAAATACACAGGTATAGAAAATTTCAAGGTTTTTTTCAGGAAATGATCGACAATTCTGGGAGATCGCCATCTTGGATTATCTCCCTTGGTACACGGAACTCTAAGACAAATGACGGTCAACAAATTAATTTATGTCAAACATTAATAAAAGATACAGTTGATACATAATGTGTTGTTTATGTGAAATCTGAGTTTATGTGAAAAGTATTATTAAATAGGTAACCGTTAACAAAGAAAGTTTAGCCAAATTCCTATGTCAGAGAATCGCCGATCAACTTACGACGTTAGGTTTCGACATCTCGGTGCGTTTCCCCATACTATTACGAAAATGTAGTTGTTCAATTTAAGCTCCGTTCCATGTAAGTTCTGTTAGTTGTTTTTTTTCAAATCGCCTATGCGTATAGCATGGGTTTTTTTCCGGCTCACTTTCATGTTGATCTCGCGTCTAACATTACATAAACACGTGATTGATAATAACCTCGTGAATTATTTCAATATTTACTAAATGAAGCATCGTAAAAATAGTCTGCTTTAACTATTTTTTCCCTTGGAGTAGATTTGAAGAGGATGTATTGATTGTCCACGCTTCTAGTATAAACATATTTTTTATAATCCCTTATCAGTCAAATCAGTCTGTAGTTATGAAAATGCAGTAGGGCTTCGTAATTCACGCCACGTGTTGGTGAGTGAAAAAAACAACAACACGGTCCCTTGATCGCGACTGCAAATCATTTCAATTAGTAGAGTTAACGGGTAATCACAGATATAGTGTTAGCTAATTACTGCATTGTAATTTTTATTGACTGAAGTGTTGAGAAGTGTCAATTATTTACGCTGAAGCATGCGATCCTATTGTCCGGGACCAGACGATATCGGTGAAATCATGCCCTCCGGGTTAACTTACCTGTAAATGTCGCAAAACCAGCAGTCTTGACCACAGATGACCGATTTTAATAATTTTACAGTAGTTAAAAATTGTGTGGCCAAAAAATATCGGCAAACCACGGACTTAGGTAATCTAATTCCGTGGCCAAACTGAACTGTGACATGCCCTGGTTTGAAGTGACGATACCCAAGCCGCCATGATGAGCCCTTCTCACTGATCGTAATTATGATCAATAAAAGGTATCTAATTATGTCTTTCACCAGCGGTTACTAAACATCGAATTACTTATTAATTGATATGTTTTTGTAAGCAAGTAAATGTTTTATGTAAAATATTGCTAAAATGAATTGATGTATGCCGATATGCGCACACGTGTGTGTGATCAGATAATTCAAAGGAAACGAACAACAATATACACATTTTACGTAGTTTTTTCTTGGTTTTTAATATCTTTACATCAATGAAAAAAAATTACAAGAAATACATTTAAAAAAATTTTTATTCAGAGATCGATTTTCGCAGTATGAACATTGTTTTTTTGGGTGCGCAAAATATTCGAGTAGAAGCTTTTTTCACGATTTTCAGCCTCAAAAAGTACCTGCGCAAATTACACAGGTGCGCAAATTACATGGGTTTTTACGGTAGCTACGGTCTAGTTAATGATTAAATCAATGATATATCGTTTGAGGAAATCAATCAGCTCAAAACGTATCAATGTTAATGTTCAATTCGGCCTCACCTGCAGACGACATGTGCGCCTCGGTCCGCCGATATTAACCTGTTTGCGTAGGACACAAAGCCGTTCATTGGAAAGTAACATATTATGTTACACCGAAGTATTTCCACATCAACCATGTCAAACCTTTCAAAACCTTTATTATCATTGTAGGCGACGCTGGAGAATAAATGTTTAGCGCGGTTTTCGGTGCATCGCGGTGTATCGTTACAGCCCTATTGTTTTAAAGACGCTCTCACACATTAGTGACATTACTACCAGAGTAACCAGCCTCTCTCCCGAAGAATTATATATCGAATTCAGAAGTTTCGCCCCAAAACTGTTACACCCCAAAAAATTTTCACATCACCCCAATTTTCAGTTCAGTTCGCCCCCCAGTATGACAACATATCGCCCCTAATTCTGTTTTGCCCTAAAAGCTATATCGCCTCTAAAATTCTGTATCGCACCAATCGCTACGAACCTATATTGAACTATAAAAGGCAGGTAATGGGAGGTAACTCAATTTTAGAGCTGTGACTATTTCCTTGTCAATATCAATTAATCATTTCTTGTTTCGAATAATTTCGCGTGGAAATAATCTAATTATCTTAAACATATATATCATCTAAAATATACAAATATGATACATGCTTAACATAGATATTATAGATATGATACTTTAGCTACCTTCGGCACACATGGAAATAATCGAATTATCTTTTACATATACCTGAATATTATTGTACAAATATACATATATATAGAGAGAGTTTATTATTAATTACTTACAACAACAACAACTTACATTAACAAATGATACAACATAATATAACACAAAGATATATATCATGCACAATACATCACTTAATATTTTTGTGGATATATTTTCCTAACGTTGTTATTTTAATAACCCCCGCCATCAATTCGGCGACACAAAATGTTCAGGAACCAGGAAAATAATTGCCTCTCTGATCTAAGTAATTTACTACAGATCGTCGATATATGGCTTTGCTGTTTGTTTAATAGCTACAGGCATCAAAGTTTGATGACAAGATGTACACATACCTAAAAGAAATATGTTCTTTATAATAGCACATGAAAACATGGATTTGTTGTTTATTTTAAAGCCACAGTACGCGTCGGTGTATGATGACAGAATGTACACAATGCTACATTTCCATCAGTCACATCATATGGAAACATAAACTGAAAAGGAAACATACTACTTTTACTATTCCGGCTTTGCAAAACTAAAACAAGAGGCCCAGAGGGCCTGTATCGCTCACCTGGATATCAAAGCAATCATGGCAAAATATTCTCCAAATGAGATCCAAGGGAATATCAGGGCTCAGGCTAAACTTTTTAAACCACTAGGCACTGTGCCTAGTGTCATGAAAAATCCACTCGGCACTCCTGAAATTTTACTGTACACCCGAGATTATGAAAAATTTCAATAAATATTTACTGATCTGTTGACCTGTTAGGATGATGTTGTTCAATGTCCATTAATGTTTTTTTCGTAAATACAATTACTACACATCATAACTACATGTTTGATTTCCATTCATCAAATATATCGTGTCAACACTGTACCTTTTGTGAAAAAGGGGTGAAGTTTTACTTCCATCTTTCGTTTCGATTAGTTACGGAACATTATGTAGTCCAGTTCCCTGCTGCGATTGCTGCAGTCGGGCCCCGCAGTACATCGTTCAGGACGCTTTGATTCAAGCGCTCATGTGATTTTTATGACAAGCATGAAAACGGCATGTTTTACGTTGTTTACTTCCGATGCTGTGACGAAAGTTACTTGGTAAAAAGTGTTCCATTGATTATTCATCACAATATTTAGGCGACAGATCTAGTGTATGTTTCAGTAATATTGACTTGGCACCGGGACGAGTGTGGTTGTAAATTCCACTCGTCCTTTTCAATTTTCACCCGGTCAGGACGAGTGGCCGGATGGTTAGCCTGAGCCCTGGAATATGCCAGACCCCAAGGCCAATCCTTGTAGCATATCTGTATTTGATTTTTTATGCCCAGCAATTTTATGTATGGTTATGGGGTGGGGATCTCAACTGTTTCCAAGCTGTGACTCAGAAACTAGGTCCCTAGGGTTGTGGCCGGACCCCAGGATCAATTCTAATATCATAATATCATTTGTCTCTTTTTGCCCAGCGTCTGTATATATAGTTTTTGGTTGGGGATCTCAACCGTTTCAAAATTATGACCCAGGGGTTATGTCTGCAAGGGTGGGGCAGACCCTGGGGTCAATTCTTATATCATGACTGCATTTGTCTCTTTATGCCCAACAATTGTATATAGTTTTGGGGTGGGGATCTTAACTGTTTCAAAGTTATGACCCAGGGGTTAAGTCTCCAAGGGTGGGGCCAGACCCTAGGGACATCCTGGAAGCAAATGTGCATTCCTCTCTTTATGCTCATCAATTATATATATGGTTATATAGTGGGGATCTCAACCATTTCCAAGTAATACATTTTTTTTGGCCCCACCCCTTAGCCCGGGGGGTCAGCCCCACCATTTGTACAATTTTGAATCCCTGCCTCCCATGAATGCTTCCGACCAAATATAATCAATATCCATGGTATAGTTCTACGGAAGAAGTCGTTTATAGCAATATAGCCAATTTGCCCCCTTTTGGCCCAGCCCTCAGCCCCATCATTTGTACAATTTTGAATCCCCACCACCTAGGGATGCTTCCAGTCAAATATGGTTGATATCTATCTCTTAGTTCCAGAGAAGAAGTCGCTTAAAGTAATATAGCTAAATAACCCTTTTTGGCCCCGCCCCTCAGCNAGAAGTCGCTTAAAGTAATATAGCTAAATCACCCTTTTTGGCCCCGCCCCTCAGCCGCCACAGGGTCAGACACACCATTTGTACAATTTTGAATCCCTGCCTTCCATGAATGCTTTTGATTAAATATGATTGATATCCAGTGCAAAGTTCTACAGAAGAAGTCGTTTGTAGCAATATAGCCAAAATGCCCCCTTTTGGCCCCGCCCCTCAGCCCCCTGGGGGGTCAGCCCAACCATTTGTACAATTTTGAATCCACACCACCTAGGAATGCTACCAGTCAAATATGATTGATATCCATTTTAAGTTCCAGAGGAGATGTCGCTTAAGGCAAAATAGCCAAATTGCCCCCTTTTTGCCCCGCCCCTCAGCCCCACCATTTGTACAAGTTTGAATCCCCACCACCTAGGGATGCTTCCAGTCAAATTTAATTAAATTCTTATCAGTGGTTAAGAAGAAGAAGTCGTTTAAAGAAATTGTTGACAGACGGACGACGGACGGATGCCACGGTATGGCATAAGCTCACCTTGGTCCTTCGGACCCGGTAGGCTAATAATATGTATATTTTTTATGCGCAGACCTTTCCGTAGTATACACAAGTTATTTCCCTTAGCACGGTAAACACAATCACATAATAATGGGAAAATAAGCAAGCTCTTTTTTTTAGGAAGGGGTCGTTATATTTTTTGGGGCGAAATAGTTGGGCCGTTATGGTTTCTTGGGGCGAACTGTTTGGGGAGTTGTGTTTTTTTGGGGGCGAACTGGTTAGGGGAGAAACGTCCGACACCCTCATATGCAGCCGTTTTGATCGCGATTAACTACTATACACTGACAATCTATCATACATCACAAAAAGCCATTGGCTTACCTCGATGTCAACTAGTGATTCAGTGATACAGCGATCCTGATTACGTCCGACATCGTCAGGTCGTTTCGCCATAAATCCCGTTTGCCCAGGGCGTTTCGCCCCAACCACAGGGGCACGTTACAAATGTCTGAAATACACACATATGCTATGCTGATATGGGTCACAACAAACATAAAGATACACAAGGGAAGAAGCTACGTCAGAGCACTACCGGTACCGCCAAATTTCAAATGAAGATTTTCAACACTTACTTTTGTTATTTTTTCCAGCGATCTGCGGCGATAGCTTCGCTTTGACTTGTAATAAAGTAATCCATCGTGATCAATTGTGTAATCATTCGTCTAATACAACCAATCAAGCACTTTTTCGGGGAATTTGCAGTTTTACCGCCTTGATTATCTTGAACCTGACCCGGAAATGACGAGGGCTTTTCGACATGTCTTTATAGCATACTGCCAAATACTGCGGAAAGTCCCAAGGCCCCCCGAGTAGAGTCTAGTCCCGCAGCAAATAATTTTTGGCGCAATATATAAAACATCATGTCTCGCATCGTTTCCTGGTACTTATTTTGCATTTTACGTTTAAAAGTTACCGTATCAAAAATATTGGACTATGTAAATGTGAAATACATACCAGAACACGATGCGAGACATGATGTTTTATATATTGCGCCAAAAATTATTTGCTGCGGGACTAGACTCTACTCGGGGGGCCTTGGGACTTTCCGTAGTATTTGGCAGTATGCTATAAAGACATGTCGAAAAGCCCTCGTCATTTCCGGGTCAGGTCCAAGTTAATCATGGCGGTAAAACTGCAAATTCCCCGAAAAAGAGCTTGATTGGATGTATTAGACGAATGATTACACAATTGATCATGATGGATTACTTTATTACAATTAAAATCGAAGCTATCGCCGCAGATCGCTGGAAAAAATAACAAAAGTAAGTGTTGAAAATCTTCATTTGAAATTTGGCGGGACCGGTAGTGCTCTGACGTAGCTTCTTCCCTTGTGTATGTTTATCTGTGTTGTGACCCATATCAGTATAGCATATGTGTGTATTTCAGACATTTGTAACGTGCCCCTGTGCCCCAACCTTTTTTGAGGCGATTCTTTTTGAGTCATTATTCTGCATATGCATTTGAATTGCATTTTCCTAAGTCTCCTTTAAATGAGCCTTATTTGTTCGACACCGCAATTATGCATGAAACATGATAATTAAGTCTTTTGTAAATTGGCGAACGGGACCCGAATCCACGTGGTTCTGACATTCTTTACGATCTACCCGGTCTTAAATTGTTTCGAACGAGATCTTTTAAAATGAAATAATAATTACCTCATATTGTGAACTGTAGGCAAGATTTTTTACAGATCCATGCTTCTCTAAAACTTTGTGGAGAACTTTCGATCCCTCAATGTACAGATTCATTCTCTGCCATGTGCTCGAAAAATATAAATTTCAGATTAACCAACAAACTTGCTAAACAAAACTGTAACTAGAAGAAAAAAACCACTATTTAATTTATCAGAAACCTGTTTTTTTGTTTAGTTTTGTTCGAACAAAATATCAAAATATGTTATATTCCACGACAATCATTTTTTTCACTAATAACGTTCCGTTATATTGGCATTTAAAATTTTCGCAATGTTATCATACGGGCATTTTATAAATGTCCGCGCCCAAGTGTCAAACCTCCACATAGCTACGTGGCAACGTTTGGACACAAATTTTGCAGACAGTGGACGAAACAAGCGTGAAATCAACATGGGATTTTTTTCTTCCAAAAGGAGTATGTACTGTTGTGTCATGATGCTAAATGCAATTGTTGAATACTTATTTTTGTTTACAAATACGTTGCACTCAGTTAGTTTAAATAGGAAATTGTACATATCCTCGGGTTAGGCCTACCGGTTTCCGCGTATAAGAAACATCCGCGATTTCGTACTCATATCGGCAGAAAACTGTTGAAATTACGGAAGACTGTCATAAACATGTAAACAATCTACTAAAGGAAGCAAAAAAATAGCAACATAAAACTGGTATTTTTAAAAATCAGAACAAACAATTTTTAGCAAATTTCTCCCGTCGGAAGTAGCCGTCATATGTTTCCGTGTGTCTATACTTTGATTTAGCGCTCGAAGAAAGATAACTCGAATACACTAAAAAGAAATTCTCTACAGTGACCTGCAAGAACAAAAGCTTCGTTTGGAATAAAAATATATATCTTTGATTGTCAAATTAATTATCTTTTTTTTTTTTTTAATTTCATATTTTTAATTGATTTTTCAAGATATCAAATTGAACGAATCCATGTAATTTTATAAATTTATTTATTATATTTATTTAGTTATAATATAGAATCTGTTATTATTTTTTTCTGCAGTTTTATATCGGTTTTGGTTGATGGTAAGTAATTTCTCGTTTTGTTCTGTTTAAAATTGGTTCAAATTGGAAGTTCATTGCATTACAAGGTTTACGTTTTATTGAAAACACTGTTTATCAATATAAGAATGTTTCCTTGGCTCTTTGGAAGTGGACAAAAATCGGCAACATTTTCGTACGTTTGTCAGACTACAAGAAAGACCGGTTTATGGATGAAATATGTCACCGTTTTTTCAGGTATGGGTTCATTTTGAGCTAGATAAAAAGTGCATTAAGCAAAACTGCAAATTTTGCGTGTTTTTTGAGTCAGTTTACAGACTATGGCCAAACGTCTAAAATATCCTTGTGTTGTGTTCAGCAGGTCACGTAGTTACGAGATATAGCTTGATAAAATGGCTGCCGGAAATACATAACGCGCGGAAACTGGTGACTAGACGATATATAAAAAATGAAAATAAACACCTAACTGTATGCTTTTTGTCAACATCACCATAAACCTTATTGTTTTATGCGACTTTGCTTTAATTTAATGAAAATAGAAATCTGAAAACAAGTTAGTGGTTTTCCCCGACCTGATAATGTATAGGTGAATATAGCTATATACATGTAGGTATTTATAAGCTATATAGCTCAATTGGCAGAGTGTACTGGACCTGATTTCATGTGTATGTGTGCCTGCTGTTTAGGTCTCGCCTATTTCATATTATAGGAAAAATAAATGAGCCACATGATTCATCAAAGCAATTGCAAATCTATTCTCAATATGATCCATCCAGGCATATCCTCAGGTTCCCGGTTTCCGCGCACTTATATTATTAAGAAGCGTCCACAATTTTGTACTCATATCGGCAGAAAACTGTTGAAATTACGGATGACTGTCATAAACATGTTTACAATCTACTAACGGAAACAAGAAACTAGCAACAAAAAACTGTATTTAAAACAAGATGCCCAATGGGCCTGCATCGCTCACCTGGTATTAATCTCACACTTGTAATCTTAAAAATGGAGTAAAATACAACTACAGGCAGAATATCAGTGTTTGATTCTCAAGAACCTATTAAAAGATTTAAACATGAAGCATGTGTCCTTGAATGTCGAACAAGGACATTAGGTTGAAAGTGGGTCAAGGTCATTCATTTGAACAAACTTGCATTGGTAGCCCTTCATCCCAGCATGCTACAGGCCCAATATCAGTACCCTTGGCCTTTTGGTTATTGAGAAGAAGTCGTTTGAAGATTTTAAGACATCTGACCCCAGTGACCTTGATAGTGGGTCAAGGTCTTTGATTTGAACAAACTTGGTGGCCCTTCATCCCAGCATGCTACAGGCCCTATATCAGTACCCGGGGCCTTTTGGTTATTAAGAAGAAGTGGTTTGAAGATTTTAAGACATTTGACCCCAGCTGTGACCTTTAAAGTTGGTCAAGGTCATTCATTTGAACAAACTTGGTAGCCCTTTATCCCAGCATGCTACTGGCCAAATGTCATAACCCCAGGCCTCTTAAGTTATTCAGAAGAAGTTGTTTAAAGGTTTTAAATATATTTGACCCCTGTGACCTTGAATAAATGTCAAGGTCATTCCTTTGAACAAACTTGGTAGCCCTTCATCCCAGCATGTTTCTGGCCAAATATCTTTATCCTAGGCCTCTTAGTTATTGAGAAGTTGTTTAAAGATTTTTTAAGACAATTGACACCTGTGACCTTGAAAATAGATGAAGGTCATTCATTTGAACAAATTTGGTAGCCCTTCATCCCTGCATGCTACTGGCCAAATATCATCATCCTGCGACTTTTGGTTATTCAGAAGAAGTTGTTTAAAGTTTTTAACATATTTGACCCCTGTAACCTTGAAAATAGATGAAGGTCATTTATTTGAAAAAAACTTGGTAGCCCTTCATCCCAGTTTGCTTCTGGCCAAATATCATCATCCTAGGCCTTTAGTTTATTGAGAAGAAGTTGTTTAAAGTAAAATATTGACGCCGGACGCCGCACCATGGCATAAGCTCACTTGGCCCTTCGTCATATGTTTCCGTGTGTCTTTTTTGATTTAGTGTCCAAAGAAAGATAACTCGAATACATTTAAAGAATTCTCTACAGTGACCTGCAAGAACAAAAGCTTTGTTTGGAATAACAATAATATCTTTGATCGTCAAATTAATTATCAAAACATTTTTTTTTAAATTTCACATTTTAAATTGATTTTTCAATGTGTCAACTGGAACGAATTCATGCAATTTTATAAATTTATTTATTTAGTTATAATATAGAATCTGTTATTATTTTTTTCTGCAGTCTTATATCGTTTTTGGTTGATGGTAAGTTATTTCTCATTTTGTTCTGTTTAAAATTGGTGAAAATTGGAATTTCATTGCAGTACTATCTATCTATCTATCTATCTATCTATCTATCTATAAGAATGTTTCCTTGGCTCTTCGGAAGTGGGGGAATAATCAGCAAGGAGATGTGGCATTATTTGAATACGACATTTCCTACGTTTGTCAGACTACAAAAAAAGACTGGTTCATGAATGAAATATATCATGTTTTTTTCAGGTATGGGCTCATTTTGAGCAAGATAAAAAGTGCATTAAGCAAAACTGCATATATATGCATGTTTTTTTAATTGGTGATTATTTCTTATGTTTTTCTGACGAACTTCCGGTAATTTTTGTGTCAGTTTACAGACGATGGGCAAACGTCTAAAATAACGCACGGAAACTGATGAAGTCCTACTGTAGACGATACATACAGGTCCAGTACACTCTGCCGATTGAGCTATATAGTTATAAAGACCTATATAGCTATATACACCTATAAATTATAGCTGTATATATAGTTGAGCTATATTTTCTCAGATTTCAACTTTCATTAAATTAAAGCAAAGTCGCATAAAACAATAAGGTTAATGGTAATGTTGACTACAAAAAGCATACATTTAGATGTTTATTTTCATTTTTCATAAATGTAAAATTTCCGATTTCTTAACATCATTATTTTTTAAAAAGATTACTTATATTTAATGTCTTTTGTTATCAACCTTATGATACAATCTTCTTTTAATAGCAACTTTGTTTCGTTTTCCATAAAAAAAAAATCACATGAAAATAGCTCAAAATAGGTCAATAGAGCTATTATAGGTCTTTACAGCTTTAGCTCAATCGGCAAAGTGTACTGGACCTGGAAATTACTGTTAATGTTCCTCTATTGAGTGATGTTTGGAATATTTTGTTAGTATTGGTGCTGTGATATCCTTAAGTTCTTTCAGTATTTTGCCGTGTATACGAGCCATCGGGCGGGGGATATTTCGTGCCCTGTGAAGTAGGACAGGAACACCCTCTGACATTTCACCCCATATCAATCCGCCATCACATTTTAAAATCTGCTAACCATACATTTTTAGGTCACCTAAGCTTTGCTCAAGTGACCGATTCTGATTGCTTTCCGTCCGTTCACGTCCGTCATCGTCCGTCATGCGTAAACATTTCTCCTCAAGAACCAGTGGATGGAATTTTTTCAAACTTGGCCAGAAACATCCTTGGTAGATGAGGCTACAAAATTGTAAAATTGGGATTCCTACCCCAACCCCTGGGGCCAGGGCAGGGCCGCAAAAGGAAAATTAACCAATGTTTCAAAAATCTTCTTCTCCAGACTCAGAGGTACTACAGTCAATTTCTCTGCATGGATGGAAAGATCATTAGGGGCTTTATTGAAATTGTAAATTTCAGTACCCCAGGGTCATCCGTTCTCCTTTGGGGAGGGGTAAAGTTTACTATAGTTGATATAGGGAAACAACACTTTTGGGTATATTTTATCCATTTTTGAGTAGAAAATTAATCTTACTTGGTGAGAATCATCCTTGGAGGAGGATGGTATCAAATTGTAAAAATGTGGATTCCTTCCCCAAACCCAGGGGCCAGGGCAGGGCCGCAAAAGGAAAATTAACCAATGTTTCAAAAATCTTCTTCTCCAGACTCGGAGGTACTACAGTCAATTTCTCTGCATGTATGAAAAGATCATCAGGGGCTTTGTTAAAATTGTAAATTTCAGTATCCCAGGGCCATCCATTCTCCTTTGGGAATTTGAAGGGGGTAAAATTTACTATAGTTTATATAGGGAAATAACACTTTTGGCTATATTTTGTCAATTTTCTGTAGGAAATTAATCTTACTTGGTGAGAATCATCCTTGGGGCCAGGGCACCAAAGGGAAAATTAACCAATATTTTAAAATCTTCTCCTTCAGACTCAGATGTAGTACAATTAAATTCTGTGCATGGATGAAAATTCTGTCAGGGGCTTTATCTCTTTTTCATTTTTTCTCTCCTGGGCCATCCCTTCTCCTTTGGGGAGGGGGTTAAGTTGACTTTTAGTTTATATATGGAAATAACACTTTTGGGTATATTTTGTCCATTTTCAGCAGGTATTTATTCAAACTTGGTTGGAATGATTATGCTGCCATATGGCAATTAAATGGTATGAGAAAAATAAGACCATGCCCCAACCCCAGGGGCTGGAGGGGTTGGGCCCAAATGGGAATTACGGTTAAAAGTTTAAAAAAACTTCTTACTCAGACTCAGATGTTTTAACAGCAGAATAATTTATTTGAATATTTTTTAAAGTTCTTATCCTTTGGTGACATGACAACTATTGTATTTCACTTTGTTTGCATGTTGTTTTCCACATTTTGTACATCTCAACAATGAAATTGAGCTACTAGTACCTATAATATAACTCAGGTGACCGCTAAAAGGCCCTTGGGCCTCTTGTTCTAAAATTCAATATCTGCAGATTTTATTCAATGTAAAATATGTCAACAATTACCTATTTAAATTATTCAGAGGCACTGTATTAACCCGGAACAAATTTAAGATAGGGATTACAATGGTATGAAACACTCACTGATTGGCTGATTTAGGTTTGTGAGTACTACGTTTATAATTACAGTACACATTGTTTTCTTTGAAATCATGCAATATCGCCCTCTCATGAATGTGATTTGATTTTATTATACCGAGTGTCATGTTTAGGTGTTTCACCACTTCACCATTTTTAAAGGTCGACAAACGTTTCAGAAAAGTTTTCACTGGGATGAACCAGGGGCGCATACATTCGGCGCATGTAACAATTTTTGGAATAACACCCTAAATAATTGTAATTATCTTTGTTGGTATTACATGTAACAATAAAATATTTTGAAATTGATTTACAACCAATGCAACTCTGTCCAAACGAACACCCTCATAATACATGCACAATCTGTTTAGAAACTAGATATTTATATTACACAATGTGTAAGGCAAGAATTGCAGTCCATAAATCACAGGTCGGATAAAGTGCTACATATGTTTAAAATGCGGATTTACTCGTGTATATAGCTGTAAAAACCTATATAGCTATAATAACCTAGGTAAACTTTATAGATGAATTGAACAATATGTTTTGAGATTTCTTTATTTATAAAAATAAATCAATGTTGTATAAAGCTGTAATTTTTATGGTAATGTTGAATTACAAAAAACTTACATTTTAGAGGTTAATCTTTCAAATATTTCATAAATGTGAGCGACACAGCTATTACAGTAGTATTAGTAATATGCTTGAAGTTATTTGAAAGTGACAGTAGAATTTACATACTCATTACGATGGCAAAACGAAAACTTCTTGAATTTTTCCAACTCACTGATATAAATAACAATGAACAAAATACTTCAATTATGAATTTATCTTTTTGTATTTATATTTTCCCAATGTTTCCACATCAATCTATGTCTGATTGATATCGGGCATCTCACTTCCGGTTCAGACAACATAAAAACGATCGAAAATAGCTTGATCGGTTATTATGATACATCGGTTATTATGATATTTTTCTCTGGCAAATAGGATATCATAATAAGCAGGTTCCACTAGCACGGTATCACAGAATTTGATTTAAGTCTGTGGTATCATAAGTCTTAGCCCGAGTTTCCTCTGGCCCTGACACCAGACATCTATCTGTCAAAATGTCCAAGTCTGGTGTCAGGGCCAGAGGAAACTTGGGCTACATAAGTCTTTACATTTAAGCTCAACAAAAGATCAAGAGTGTGTTGAACAGGCACAGTAAGGTGCAGAAGGTGACCGGGTAGCTCAATTGGTAGAGCGTCCATTTAATGTTAGGAGGGTCTCAGGTTCGAACCCAGGTCTGGCCTTGCATTTTTCCGCGCCTATTACATTAGTAATAAACATTCATTTGGGTAACACAGTTATATAATGTTACTGTCTATAGGAACAATTTCATTACTAAATTGAGGAAAATGACAGTTCATAGGTATATAACTTTATTTTTGTATGTAAAAATTATTCTTTGAAATGAAGTACCACTTGTTTCGAAATTTGACTGATCAAAAGGGTTCTTATTTTTTGTAACATGCAGACGATAATCCAGTCACTGACCATGCTCGATGTTACTGAACTTTATATTGAGCAGGTCCCCAGCTATGCCACATCACTGGAACAGCTAGCTTATCCGTATTAAAGCAGTCACAGATTTCCCTATCTTATTTTTGGCTGTTACAATATTCTCCCCTCTAAGAAGTCTCGTCCAGAGACCGGAAATAGCCTGGGAAGTTCTGGTGATTGATTGGTTGATGGGGCTTTTACGTCTTTGTTCTGGTGATTATTAAGCCTAGGACACAAAAACAAAAAATACAAATAAATGAAAAAAAATGGGAAGCAGGGAGGAGGGGGACATTGTTGTCTAAGTGCAATTTCACTTTTTTAAATTGCCAAAGATTTCTAATATGGAGGCTAGGGGTATTCTAGTTCTATTTTCTGTGGTTTATAGGTCAAAGGATTACATTTTTGGACTGTCAAATACAGTCATCAGCTAGTCTAAACCTTTAGCCTATACTATACTTTGTGGAAGCTAATTAAACAATTAGCCAACTCTTATATCAAAATCCAGCAGAATGAATTTTAATGTACAAGGCGTGACTCACTTTACACCGGACCCCTGTTTTATGACCAAAGGTCAAGATGAAGTAGATTGAGGAAAGTGTGAGAGAGCATAACAAATGGCAAAAGTTATGAAAATAGGTTTGGCTTGTTAGTAATGGTTGGTTTATTATTCAAGGAGATTTCTGGACACCATTTGTATAACCCTGTCTTTCGGGTACTTATAATGAATAGCCATGGTGTTTTCAAATGGGGGAAAAGGAAAATTGTAATTGGTGTTAATAGAGTTGAAGTACCAATGCACCCTCCCTAACCATGGGGACCTTGCCTTACACGGTACCCGAGAATCCCACCGCTGCCACCAAATATATCGTGCGGAAGGGCATCCATCCAGCCACTAACCATGCTTGAAGTTGGTGAACTAGTCTGTGGTTGCCCGAGTTATACCACATCAAAAAGGTAGCTTACCAGTAAGGCAGTATTTCTCCACATTTTTCCTTGCCTTTTACACTTTTCCCTTGAAACATATAAATCTGCCATTTTGTACCCTTTCTCTGAGCTTTACCTGACTAGCTAGTTGCATAGCAGAAACATTAAAAACAGACATTTTAAGGTACCATTATAATTTGTTTTAGTTATATGTAGTAGAACTTGACTGGAATTTCTTGGCATACTCATGTATATACACTGGATTCAATAATTTGTCAATTGACTTACAATGTACATGTATATACACTGGGTTCAATAATTTGTCAATTGACTTACAATGTACATGTATATACACTGGGTTCAATAATTTGTCAATTGACTTACAATGTACATGTATATACACTGGGTTCAATAATTTGTCAATTGACTTACAATGTACATGTATATACACTGGGTTCAATAATTTGTCAATTGACTTACAATGTACATGTATATACACTGGGTTCAATAATTTGTCAATTGACTTACAATGTACATGTATATACACTGGGTTCAATAATTTGTCAATTGACTTACAATGTACATGTATATACACTGGGTTCAATAATTTGTCAATTGACTTACAATGTACATGTATATACACTGGGTTCAATAATTTGTCAATTGACTTACAATGTACATGTATATACACTGGGTTCAATAATTTGTCAATTGACTTACAATGTACATGTATATATCACTGTGTACTTATCAACACAATTGTCAAAGTTTGCTTCCTGTTACAGTTGCAACTGCTCTGACTCTGGTATGGCTTGGTTTCATGATCTATCTGTGGTTTCCTATGCTGTTGCCAAATGCCCAGAAGAAAAGTGTAATTGACAAAGGTTTGTGTTAAATTTATACCAGAGTTACAGTCAAAGGTAAATTTAATCTTTTTTTTGGGTGGGGGTGATAATAAGTAGAGAACTTGAAAAACTGCTATAAATTGTAGCCTGGACCCAATTTGGTCAATTCTGAACATCATTTTGGTTGCAATTCCCTACAATTATATCGATATTTACAACATCTCCTGACAGTTATACGGATATTTACAACATCTCCTGACAGTTATATGGATATTTACAATATCCCCTAACAGTCATATGGATATTTACAATATCCCCTAACAGTCATATGGATATTTACAATATCCCCTAACAGTCATATGGAGAAGGAATTGTTGGATCCATTTGGTTTTGATTGCATGTTCTTTATGATGTCTTTTACAATCTTAAAATTAAGTTATGTATTTGAAATTCATAGTTTTTGAAAAAACTGAATTGAAATAAACTCCCCTGGAACCAAAATCCAGTTTGGAATAAATGATTGATCCACAATGTGAGAGTACATAGACCCATACTTGCCCAGACATAACACAGTGTACTTTTTCAGGTATATTCAGACAGGAGGCGCTGGCACAGAAAAAAAACATGACATCAACCGATGCTGTCCATGTGTGTATAATGTCTGACAGCAACACCATCGGTGGTATGATGGCCCTTATCAACAGCATCCGCCTCAACACCAAACACGACGTCATGTTCCACCTGTTCGTGGACAGAAAGAGCATGGACCACGCCAGGTAATTAGTATACCATCTCATCTTGTTAATTTCATGTTGATTTATTTTTCAACTGTCATATGAACTCGATTTGTCATTATGTAAAGAAATCATTTAACATGTTGAAAAAAAGAAATCTTATCAGTTGTATTTGAAAGCTATTAGGCCAAAAAAATACATATGTCTGTTTAGGGTTCCCGACCGACCCTAGCTTTTTACCCCCGACCCAAAACTTTTTGATGAAAAAAAAACCCACGCTGATTTTTGAATTTAGTTTCAAAATGGCTTCCAGCTCCGTCTTGGCGCTGAGTGTTAGCATATGGAGCACAATTTGCCTCCAAATGAACCTTGTTTATGTAATTCTTTGTTTTACATATAATAGTAGGGTCGACGTCATACTCACATGACCACACGGTACACAAAAATATACAAAAATCAAAAAATTCAACCTACCTACCCTTGTTTTTTTGCCCATGCAACCCTAAACAGACAATATTTTTTTTTTAGGCCTTATGTGTATACATTAGAAAAAATCAAATGAAGCATCTTTCACCCCATGAACATGATTCCAGCAAATATATATTGTAGTGAAAATGAAATCTGCTGGTCGTGAAATAATGAAAGTATTCTATTGGTTTGGTTTGTTTGTGTTTTACGTCCTATTAACATGGTCATTGAAGGACGTGCCATGATTTGATGGTGGAAGAAAGCCAGAGTTCCTCAGAAAATACACACAACCAACGGCCAGTACATGGCGACTGCCCCATGTAGATCTCGAACCTGCGACCCTTTGGTGGAGGGCTAGTGGTAACTTGGCCACTGCGACCCCCCTATTCTATTGGAAACCATTAGTATCCTGTGTATGTTAAAAATACACATCTAATAGTGAACTAATATTTATTGTTACAGAATCTGGATTGAAACTTCCACGTTGCTTGTAATATTTTATGACCTACATGTTTTCCCACAAGAATGGGTCAAGGGGAAAATAAAGGTCCGAGGAGGTCGTCCAGAACTGGCCAGTCCAGTAAGTATTATTCTGTATTCTGTTTTCTTCCCTTTCTGACATCTCTAATGAAAAATTCTACATCATGTAATAAAACTTTATATAACAGTGTAGATGTTGTTAAATGTTTTTTGCTGGGCCGTTCGGGAAAACTTTATATAACAGTGTAGACGTTGTTAAATGTTTTTTGCTGGGCCGTTCGGGAAAACTTTATATAACAGTGTAGATGTTGTTAAATGTTTTTTGCTGGGCCGTTCGGGAAAACTTTATATAACAGTGTAGATGTTGTTAAATGTTTTTTGCTGGGCCGTTCGGGAAAACTTTATATAACAGTGTAGATGTTGTTAAATGTTTTTTGCTGGGCCGTTCGGGAAAACTTTATATAACAGTGTAGATGTTGTTAAATGTTTTTTGCTGGGCCGTTCGGGAAAACTTTATATAACAGTGTAGATGTTGTTAAATGTTTTTTGCTGGGCCGTTCGGGAAAACTTTATATAACAGTGTAGATGTTGTTAAATGTTTTTTGCTGGGCCGTTCGGGAAAACTTTATATAACAGTGTAGATGTTGTTAAATGTTTTTTGCTGGGCCGTTCGGGAAAACTTTATATAACAGTGTAGATGTTGTTAAATGTTTTTTGCTGGGCCGTTCGGGAAAACTTTATATAACAGTGTAGATGTTGTTAAATGTTTTTTGCTGGGCCGTTCGGGAAAACTTTATATAACAGTGTAGATGTTGTTAAATGTTTTTTGCTGGGCCGTTCGGGAAAACTTTATATAACAGTGTAGATGTTGTTAAATGTTTTTTGCTGGGCCGTTCGGGAAAACTTTATATAACAGTGTAGATGTTGTTAAATGTTTTTTGCTGGGCCGTTCGGGAAAACTTTATATAACAGTGTAGATGTTGTTAAATGTTTTTTGCTGGGCCGTTCGGGAAAACTTTATATAACAGTGTAGATGTTGTTAAATGTTTTTTGCTGGGCCGTTCGGGAAAACTTTATATAACAGTGTAGATGTTGTTAAATGTTTTTTGCTGGGCCGTTCGGGAAAACTTTATATAACAGTGTAGATGTTGTTAAATGTTTTTTGCTGGGCCGTTCGGGAAAACTTTATATAACAGTGTAGATGTTGTTAAATGTTTTTTGCTGGGCCGTTCGGGAAAACTTTATATAACAGTGTAGATGTTGTTAAATGTTTTTTGCTGGGCCGTTCGGGAAAACTTTATATAACAGTGTAGATGTTGTTAAATGTTTTTTGCTGGGCCGTTCGGGAAAACTTTATATAACAGTGTAGATGTTGTTAAATGTTTTTTGCTGGGTCATTCGGGAAAACTTTATATAACAGTGTAGATGTTGTTAAATGTTTTTTGCTTGGCCGTTCGGGAAAACTTTATATAACAGTGTAGATGTTGTTAAATGTTTTTTGCTGGGCCATTCGGGAAAACTTTATATAACAGTGTAGATGTTGTTAATTGTTTTTTGCTGGGCCATTCGGGAAAACTTTATATAACAGTGTAGATGTTGTTAAATGTTTTTCGCTGGGCCGTTCGGGAAAACTTGATATAATCCTGACAGTGATAACCATTCTATTGACTTACAGGTCAAGGGTCAAATTGACTCCTGTTCATTACAATCAGCAGTTATTTAAACAATATTTATTAGAAATGGAGAAAAAAATGGAAAAAAATTAGGATCCCTGTACCACTGCCAAAAACTGTAGCTATGCAGTAGTAACTGAATTTGCAGAATGACTAAAGCTTAGATTTATTATTTCAAAAAAGAAAACCATACTATGCAGGACTTGTATGAAAATGCAGGACTTTTTAAAAAAATGATACAGATGACATAAACAAAACATGACCAACAACAGAGTTCTGAGTGTAAAATTAGAGTCGACCAAGACCATGGCTGACTGGTCTATTGTCACTCTAACTGTATAGCTAACCTACCTGGTCAACAGAGTTCTGAGTGTAAAAGTAGAGTCGACCAAGACCATGGCTGACTGGGCTACTGTCACTCTAACTGTATCGGTAATCTACCTGGTCAACAGAGGTCTGAGTGTAAAATTAGAGTCGTTCAAGCCCATGGCTGACTGGTCTACTGTCACTCTAACTGTATCGGTAATCTACCTGGTCAACAGAGTTCTGAATGTAAAATTAGAGTCGACCAAGCCCATGGCTGACTGGTCTACTGTCACTCTAACTGTATAGCTAATCTACCTGGTCAACAGAGTTTTGAGTGTAAAATTAGAGTCGTTCAAGACCATGGCTGACTGGTCTACTGTCACTCTAACTGTATAGGTAATCTACCTGGTCAACAGAGTTCTGAGTGTAAAATTAGAGTCGACCAAGACCACGGCTGACTGGTCTACTGTCACTCTAACTGTATAGCTAATCTACCTGGTCAACAGAATTCTGAGTGTAAAATTAGAGTTGACCAAGACCATGGCTGACTGGTCTACTGTCACTCTAACTGTATAGCTAATCTACCTGGTCAACAGAAATGTCCTCACCCAATTACATTACAGTTATATCCACAACACAGAATTAAGCCAGCTGAAGATTACTGTATATATAAAAGGCTAGTGGAATTCTCTGGTGTTTTGTCTGTAGTGGGACAGGGTCCTTCACACATCAGGAGAGAAGATTAGGAGAGGAGAGTCTGATCCTATTATATCTATATTTCATTTTTATTTTATTTCAAGATGAACTTTGGAAGATACTATCTACCACGGTTATTTCCAGATTTCCATGGACGGGTTCTCTATATTGATGATGACAGCATTGTTCAAGGTGAGATCTGACTGTCTCTCAATTTATATACTTCTGTTAAAACAAAAATATCTATGACCTCCTCTGCCCTCCTCAGAAAGAAACCCCAATGTTCATCACATGATAGTCACACCTCATTAATCCATAACCTTAAGTACCCAGATAAACAAAACATGGTTTGTGTAGATCATGACTTCTTTCGTACTTTAACATAATATACACATTGTACGTGGCCTTCAGAAGGACACAGGTGCTACCAGATATGACTGCAAAATCATTTGGAGAAAATTTTACCGATAACATTATAAACTTTGATTTAAGTTTTTGCATTCCTACAAAACATTTTCTGGACTGCAGATAGATTTAATATTGCATGAACTTTCGTCCAATAAAGCACTATCTGCTATATGCCTTATGTACTGTTAGTAAACAATTTTATATTTAAATATTTATTTATTTTTTTAAACCAATAGGTGCATTATTTCAACTTAACTTATATGGACCATGCATGCTAAGGTGATGGAAACCTGGGTTATTATACTCCAATCAAACAAAGTTTGCAGGGATAGGGGGGGGGGGGGGGGGGGGGTGTCACATAGCACCCTGTCTGGCTGTCCATGATCTTTTTATACCCCCTGCAAACAAAGTTGTGGGGGATTGGGGTTACATGTTACCCTCTGATCTCCCTCCATTAATCTGTGAAATTTGTAAGGGCATCTTAACTGTTTGTTAGATTTTCTTGTAATCTGGCACAGTACATGAAGAAAGGAACTAACAATTTGACTTTATCCTGGAGTTATGGCCCTTGAAACTTCAAATTTCAACTCCTCCTTCACTGTTGGTTGGAAATTTTGTAACGTAGAACAGTGAAAGTACATTATATATAGATGTATATGAATGAAGGGGCCAAAATGAGATAATTTTACACTACATGTATTTTCAAAAATATTTTCTCCTCCTGATCTGTAAATGTTACACCCAAAGAGAATTGCCTGTATCAGTAGATGAATTCAGCCTGTAATAGGGGTCTAGGGTTCCTTTTATGAAACTGTAAAAAGACTATATAAACTCATTAGATTTATTATCAAAACCATTTTTTTTTTTAAGGTGATGTTTATGAATTATACAACATGAAATTAAAACCAGGGCATGCCGCTGCATTCTCTAAGGACTGTGATGGACCAGCTAAGAGACTCTCACTCATGAAAGTACGTTTCTATCTCACAACTTAGCCATAAATAACACCATCTTTAGTTCTACATAGACACATCATCAGCCAAAGTTAGCAAAAACCATGTCCATACAAAATAAAATATCATTTATGAAAAAAAATTGATATAGTAGATTTTGCTTAATATCACTTCTGTCAGAGGAAAACATGATATAAACGATATATATATAACGTGATATAAAGAGAAAACATGTTTTTGTGATCCTTTCAGGTGACAAAGCCCTGAAGTGACCATATTCAAACGTCAAAGACAAAGTAGTTTTAAAAAGAAGATTGTAAAGTAAAGATATTTTTAACTGACACAGTTTTTACTTTATTAACAATGAAATAATCGTCTTTTATTTATATATTCCAGAACAATTACGCAGATTATATTGATTTCAAAAACAAACATGTTAAAGAACTTGATCTAAACCCAAACGAGTGTGCATTCAACAGCGGGGTGTTTGTTGCTGACCTGGATCTGTGGAGGAAAAACAACATCACACAGAAGCTTGAGTACTGGATGACTCTGAATACGAAGTAAGCTTTCCTGAGTAGTGATGTATTACGAGAATTTATGAGAAAAAGATATTTGTAAGTAAAGAATATACATTAAGTGGTATGAAGCTAAGTTTCACATGTTTTATTTAAAGTTCTTGCTTAATTATTACTTTTTATCCTGGCAGATGACTTTTTCAGGACAGATGGGGGTAGATGTTTTACGAAGGTCTTTGCTGTGTTCAATATATCATATAACCATTGAAATCAGTTGATCTGCTGTAGTCAATGTGGAAAATATGATGTGTATGAATATGAACGTGAAAGTTATCAGGCCTAACACATGACCAAATGTAGCTCCGTGATTCATCCTTTTTTATACGCCCGTCGAAGACGGGGACGTATTATGTTATCACGTGAGCGGGCGGGCGGGCGGGCGGGC